AGCTTTTTCTTTTGGGCACATTATATACTGCTGTGTACCATGGGAAGCCTTTGGTCAGAGAGCCTGGGTTTGAAAATCTGGAGTATCAGAGAGGAGACATTTCTTTCCATTTGTGAGCAAACGCAGCCCACAAAGTCAACTTTCTAATTTAATATAGCTGATTATATTAATATAATATGAATGTATATAATTATATATATATTAATATTATAACGGGGCTTGGAGCAAGCTGCTCTAGTGGAAGGTGTCCCTGCCCGTGGCAGAGGTTGGAATTGGAGGAGCTTTAAGGTCCCTTCCCAAACCATTCTGTGATTCTATGTATGCCCCAATTTTTCTCTGTCCACATCAGGACAATACATTTGCTGAAGCTTTTAAGATTAGATTTTGCTCAGTGCAGCTAATGTGAGAGACAATGATATATGATGGTGTATGCATCATAACACACAAACCATCGCCTTGGTTTTTCCTTTCTATCTAAACACTTCCAGATAACCAGTCTCATGCTCCTCGTCCAACAGGATCCCAGAGATGCAAAATAAACTCCACTGTCATCAGCCAGGCGAGACCATTCTGGTCCTCACTTCCAGCCTCTGCTGTCCCTCCTTGCCAAGTTCTCTATCTGTGCTGGACTGATCGATATGTTCTCATCCAAACCATTATCTGAAGCTTAGTAAGTGTTATAGCCAATATTATAAATCTAAGTGCTCCTTTGCCTATTTTCTTTGAGTTTCCCTTCTCGCTGTGAATACAAAGCAGGGGGGTGATTGGTATGCAAGGGTATGGATGAACCCATAAAGAATGATAACTGCCGGAAGGAATCCCTTGATGTAATAATAATCCTTGAAGGAGTCGTAGACTTCTTTATTTTTATGATCCCATATATTATCAAGAGCATTTTTAGCAGAACAAATCATAGAGTGCAAGAATGCATACATAAGGGTTTCAGTTAACAACAGGTAGAGGACAATCAGAAAATTGTAATTAGAAGATCACCTGGATAAAAGAATTAAGGTGGACCAAGTTATCAGTGAAGTCCAAATAATCTATGATTACCATCTCAGACACTAAATGGCATTATTGCCTGCAGCTTGATTTGATCATAGAATCCTGGAATGGTTTGTGTTGGAAGGGATCTTAAAGCTCATCCAGTTCCAACCCCTGCCACAGGCAGGGACCCCTTCCACTGGAGCAGCTTGCTCCAAGCCCCTGTGTCCAACCTGGCCTTGAACACTGCCAGGGCTGTATTTGATGTATTTGATGCAAATATCCCAGTGTGCTTCTCGGTTCACTACAGCAGCTTTTTCTGGCTTTCATAACCAAGTGCAAGGCAACCAGAGCAAACAGTGTAGTAATTTCTCATACAGGGAGATGTTTCCATTCTGAACGCTACTAAGATAATCTTATCTACAATATTTTAAACTGATTTTTCTTCACTGATACAAAGCCTGTGTAATTTAAAAGATGATCAGTTTGCTAGACAGAGTGTTATAAAGTTATGAAATATGTAGCTATTTGACCCATGAAACAGAAGGCATTAAAAACTGTGGAGTGGGATTTAATCACACCAGTAATAAGAATTTATCCATCTGATCTTGCATGCCCTGCACTACTCATTTTCTTGATGTTCTTTAACAGCTTCCTTCCTATAAGCCTGATGAAATAGATGTGCACAGTGATTGTTATAAGACTAGAAGCCTTCCCTAAAATTAATTCTAAGACTAATACACGTGGCTTTGTGACACACCTGCTTTAGCTCCATTCTGCAGCCTTTGAATGTATATTTCCTCCTCTTGGAAGGTTTATAGAAATACAGATGCTGAAGGAAAGCTTGGACAGCAAGCTAATGATGTACAGCCTTTATTTGATTGCATTTCTAAGGTATGCTTCAATCCTGAGGGCCTTCAACACTGGATGTTACACAACGGGCTCCATTTCTATTACAAACTATATGAAAAGCAAGTGGAAGGAATCTGAGCAATGAAGGCTGCAAAGAGGAAAAATACTGAGCTGAATCAAGCTTTGCAAAAACCCAACAGTATATTGCTTCCATTTTTATGAATTTCCATTAAATGATGCAGAAACCCTGCTCATGACAGGTACAGGAGCTACACAAGGTCACATCCTCAGTAGCAACGTGACCAAGGCTGGAAGCTGAGTTGTCTTCAGGTCTGGGCTTCAACCATCACAGCATGACGGCATTTGCAGGCAGTACTGAATAGCAAGTGGAAGCCCCTCAAACAGCCTCATAGAACAGTCTGGGTTGGAAGGGACCTGCAAAGCTCATCCAGTTGAACCCTTCCGCAATGAGCAGGGACATCTTCAACTAGATCAGGTTGCCCAGAACCGCATCCAGCCTGGCCTCAATGGTTCCAGGGATGGTGCAGCATGAAAAAGGAACTGGCTATTGGGATTTTACTCCTGACCATGTGTTTTATCATCTCATTGTTTAATGCTTTTTAGCGGAAGAGTGAACTCCTATGAACAATACTGAGCTACTACCAGCGCCTAAAGCCTGCAGTGTATCATAGGAACTGAAGGTACTACCCTGGAGCTCACACAAGAGACAGTTTGAGAGACTGGAAACCTCATCTGAATTCCTGAGGTTTCTTCATGGAGATGGAGTTCTCAGACCCGACTCCTGGCAGCCCTCCTGTAATTTTCCACTTAGAGGTCTGAATTCAGGTCAAGCGAGAGGTGGCCCCTGAGAGAGAAGCCTGGGAAAGGGGTAAGAGCTCGGTACACTTTGATGGGAATTAAGAGGAAAAGGGGTTGCAAAAAACATTAGTGAAAGTATTTACTGAAACCATCCAGCCATGGGGAAGAGCTGAGCAGAGAGGATGAGAGCACAGAATTCCTCAATATATGCACAAAATGTGTAAAACTTGGTGGGTTTAATAACACTATTCACGTTCCTGAGCTTTCTTCTATATTTGCTTTTTTCACCATTTAGACTGAAAACACCAAATTCCTGCAACAACACAGTTACAATTTCAATCATGGAAAAGCTGGGCTTGTGTAGTGCTGTGCACTGGGACAGTCTGTCTTAAACAGAACTATTCCAGAGCTAAAACTGAACTCCTAAACTCATGGAATGGTTTGGGTTGGAAGGGAGCTTAAAGCTCCTCCAGCTCCAACCCCTGCCATGGGCAGGGACCCCTTCCACTGGAGCAGCTTGCTCCAAGCCCCTGTGTCCAACCTGACCTTGAACACTGCCAGGGATGGGGCAGCCACAGCTTCTCTGGGTACCCTGGTCTCTGCTGAGATCAGAAATGCTTTCTCTAAGCGTGAGATTTACTGAAAAGCAGATTACTCAATAGAAGTCCATTTGAATGATGAGCTGCAGAGAAACGCTGCAAACCACCCCTGCAAACAAATAAGAATCACTACCACTGGGTGCTTTTGCACAAAACAACAGCTTGGCCAAAGTTACACGTTCCAAAGTGAAAGAGAAGAAAAGGTCTGGTACTGGTTTGTGTGGCAGGACCTTGCTATCAGGGGGACTAAAGGGGTGGCTTCTTTGAGAAGCTGCTAGAAGCTTCCCCCAGCTGGCCCCAAGATGGCCCTGCTGCAGTGATATGTACTGAAGAAGAGGGAAAAACCTGCACAACAGCAACTGCAGCCAACGATAAGAGTAAGTAGGCCAGGTTGGACAGAGCCTTGGGTGCCATGGTTTAGTGTGAGGTGTCCTTGCCCATGGCAGGGGGGCTGGAACTGGAGGATCTTAAAGTCCTTTCCAACCCAAACCATTCTATGATTCTATGTGAGAGGAAGAGCCCTGCACACCACAAGGTGTGTGGAGAAAGAGGGGAAGAGACCATGGTGGTCCATGGTGGAGCAGGTATCCACCTGCAGCCCAGGAAGAACTCCACACCAGAGCAGGAGGATGCCCAAAGGAGGCTGTGACCCCATGAGGGACCCAAGCTGGAGCAGTTCATGAAGAACTGCAGCCCATGGGACGGACCCACGCTGAAGAAGTCCTTGGAGGACTGTCTGCTGTGGGAGGGACCCCATGGTAGGGGGGGCAAGAGTGTGAGGAGTCCTCCCCTGATGAGGAAGGAGCAGCGGAGACAATGTGGGATGAACTGACCACAACCCACATTCCTCATCCCCCTGGCACTACTTTATGGGAGGAGGTAGAGAAAATGGGAGTGAAGTTGAGCCTGGGACGAGGGGAGGGGTGGGGTGAAGGTGTGTTAAGATTTGGGTTTATTTCTCATTATCCTACTCTGATTGGCAACAAATTAAACTAATTTCCCCAAATCAAGCCCGTTTCCTATGAGTGACTCTCCCTGTCCTTATATCAACCCATGAGCCTTCCGTATGTATTTTGTCTCCCCATCAAGCTGAGTAGGGGGCTGACAGGGCTGCTTTGGTGGGCACCCAGCATCCAGCCAGGGTCAACCTCTCCCAGCTCTTTAAACACATAGTTTTGCCTTCAAAAAGGAAATAAATGGCCCTGCTGTAAAGCACTGCTTTGAAGAAAAGAACCAAACTAGTTTTAAATGATTCCAGAATACAGGAAGACGCTGAAAAAGCATGCTTTCTTTGGAAAGCTGACAACAATGTTGATGATGAAGAGTGTTTCTGAGCTCCTTCCCTCAAAGGGGGCACATGTGTTTGCCTCTAGGAAATAAGCGGCTACAAGAAATAGCTCCAGAAAAGAAAGATGTCAGATACGTGTTTTATTTCCTTCCCTGAGGATTTAAAGGCTGTTAGATCTAACTTGCAGCTGAGACTATATCCTGTTGGTTGAAGCTCCCTCACTGACACAGCTAACAGCATTTTGCTTGTGCTCTCCACCAGAATGAATGAGACCTCCCTTCAGGTTGGTCACTTTGAGTGATACTGCTCCCTTATGCTCTACACACTTGTTTGGAACAGCTGGAATCTCTGGACCTGGATCTGAAACATCCACGAGCACAATTCCATATTGCTGTGGATTGTTCAGGGCACAAAGGCAAAGAAAACTGCAAGAAATCATCATCCTCTCTGGGACTCACCCTTTGATGGGCAGGAGGGGAGGTCGTTGGGCTGATCAAGTCTTGACTTTCCATGAGGTTCCCATAATCAGCCATGCTTCCTTTGAGAGGCAGAGGAGGAGGAACGTCAGGGATGTCAGAGCTGGACATACCATTGAGCTCCAGGTCTGTAAAGATCAACACTGAGTTAGTTCATTCAGTAACTGAATCAAATCCAAAGACCCAGATTCCTACATCAGTTCCTATGGTGTTGATACTGCCGTAACGCTACACAGGCGCTATCTTTGTCTATGTCTTCATCTTTGTTACTTGAATGATGCCCTCTTTTTAATAGAAAATGATTTTTCCTTCAGATTTCCTGCCAAAATATTCAGAGCTCAGCAAATGTAATTTTTCTCAGCTGTAAGCTCTGCATTTTCACCTTCACACTTCAACAGGAGTTCTGGTAAGTGCACTAAGAAAACATAATCGAGCTGAGCTTTATTTACTTCCCCTCAGTAAAATAAAAGCATCTTGTTAATAAAATGCACAAATGAAAGCCTATAATTAACTACACCTCCCTCAAAAACTTCCCAAGTCCAGGTAACTATAATAAACGAGCAGTCACTGGTTGTTGAGTAAATAAAATCACGCAAGAGAAAGTACAAAACATTTATTATTGCTGTTTGCTGGCTAGAAAGTTCCCTTCTCTTAGCAGATAAATCCTAGCAGGTAGGTGCTGTAAAGGCGAATAGCCTGAGGGCCAGTAAAGTTTATTGAGGCCTGAGTGATACATTGGCTTCGGTGTCAAAATCCACCCACGGTGTATTTCAGGGCAACTCTGTCATTTTAATACAGGCAAAACCCACTGTGAGCTCTACGAGGCAAGAAGCTTAATGTATTCCTTATAAATTAGGGAAGCGTTTTGATTTAGGAAATGAAGGAAAAGTTCTTTTTATTTCACTGGGGTGATTTGTGAAGCAAGGGGAGGATTTGTTTATGCAGGTGTTTTGATTGCAAGGTTCCTTTCAGTATCTCACCAAAAGCATCCTTTTATGGCTCCTCCAAATGGCCTCTCGCTAACACAATTTAACTGTGAGGTGGCTGTATTGATTTGTCACTGAAAACTGTAATTTTCCTCTTCATCCTTTCACTTGAACTTTCAACTATGTCTGGACAAGAGTATTTTTCACCCTGGGACTTCAGAATTTCAGTGGCTTCTTCTACATCAGGCTCAACAGAGTTGTTTGTCCTCCAGGACTTCAACTCATTATTGATTTTTCCAGTGCCCCTGTTCTACATCCTTCCTCTTCTATATAAATAGGTTTTCTCCATTCCCTTAACATTCACAATACTTTCCTTCATCATAATCTGTTTCTGCTGAGCTCCCGTCATCAAACATGTAACTGGAAAACACCACCTCACACATTCATGCTGCAAATGAACTTCCTTGTTCATTCCATATGAATTTCCCATCCATATCATACATCTAAAGATCATGAGGCATTGGAGACCATAAACCTCACAAAACAGCTCCTTGATGTACATCCTGCATGTCTCACCCACAACTATGTATCTCTCTGTATCTCTCTATATGATCTATTTGTTTTTTCCATGCTGTTATGGATAATACTGGGAGATGTTTGGAGAATGGCATTTTCTTCAGTGTTGTAGCTTTAGCCAGAACTTTAGCAGAACCTTGAAGCCTGCTTCAGAAAGGGAAAACTTAATTTGGGATTTCCTGTAAACAAGTCATGTTTTTAGGTCTCACTATACACATTCCTTGGGTGAAAACTGAAATTGAATACAATAACACACTATTACCCAAAGACAAAGTGAATTTAACTGCCCTGAGCACTTTATCTTTGTATCTTACAGGACATTACAGTATCAATTAGCTCCATCTAAGCCACTGGATGGGGCTTTTAGCAACCTGCTCTAGTGGAAGGTGTCCCTGCCCATGGCAGGGGGTTAGAACTGGATGAGTTTTAAGATCCCTTCCAACCCAAACCATTCTATGACTACATGTAGACTAACAGGTGTTAATAGAAGATGGTAAGACCAGTTTTGTTAGGAATGATAGAAAACCTTTGTTTCTTTAACGTTGACACTTGGAATATCAATGGAAAGGCAGATGAGCCATGTTTTCACTAGAGCTACAGAGGAAACAAGGTGTGGAGGCAACACTTAAACATCCGCAATACTCTGAACAGCCTACATGGTCACCAACTATCTGTGCAACTGTGTTCTGCTCTGCCTCTGTCCCTTTCGCTACATTACAGCACTAATTTTCTGCAGCCCCCATTGTGTTCCTACATGGCACCTTCACTACCTCATCCTTTTGCAAAACAGCAATAAATAAATCCTTTTGAACGTGGACAGAGTATTTCCATCCACATGAATAGTTCATAATATGCATTAACAACATCATTTGCATTCACTCCGGCAAACTATTTACTAGAACAACAACTCTCTATAATGACAAAAACCTACTTGCCCTGACTAGCTAATCTCTCCCACAGTTTAATGAAATCCAGGGATCACCAACCCTTCTGCAGAAACAGGTATTGACACAAACTGCAGTCATTTTCAGTTGTGTTTCCAGACTTATTTGCTACAGATCTATTCATTTTCGCCTGCTCCATTCAGCTGAACTACACCTCGCTAACTCAGGCACTGTACAAATAATTACTCATCATTTCAGGTTGGTTGCCATTATTCAAGGTGTTTCATCAGACTAATATGCTCTGAATATTTATTCCTTGCCTTACATGGGCCACTGAGAATATCTTGGAGCTGGCAGGAGATCAGTTAGATGCCTGTTTTTTTCCATCTTAACCTAATGATCAGATTTTACACTCCATTCTCCTAAACTGCCAGCTAACAAGCAAGCAGGATTACTTAGCAACCCATTAACTGCGTTTAGCCAATTTATGCATTGAAGCAACTTCTTGATCCTTGGAATTCCTAAAATCATTTATCACAACAAATCCTCAATTAGGGACAAGTCTCATTGATTTGGCAAGAAGCTGAACCTGTTCTATGTAACACCCATAAATCTTCAGCACATATATATTATTTACTATTATATACTATTTATATTTAAAGATATATGGCAGCCTACCAGTATCTGAAGGGGGGCTATAGGGATGCTGGGGATGGACCAGGTTGGACGAAGCCTTGGGTGATATGGTTTAGTGTGAGGTGTCCCTGCCCATGGCAGGGGGTTGGAACTGGACGATCTTAAGGTCCTTTCCAACCCTAACTGTTCTATGATTCTATATTGTATTTATACTTATTTATAGCTATTCTATCTATTAAATATTCTCAGAATGCTGCATCCCTGACAGTGTTCAAGGCCAGGTTGCACAAAGCCCACAGCGACATGGTCTAGGGTGAGGCATCCCTGTCCAGCACAGGGAGATTGGAACTGGATTATCTTAAGGTCCTTTCCAACCCAACCCATTCTATGGTTTTATGATCTGTGTGCAGAAAAATATGATAACTTCAAATACTTTTTTAAAGGAGAAACCAAGTTAGTTTTAATAAAATGTACACAGGAAGAACTAATCCAATTCAAAGAATATCTTTTGCATGAGCATATATACTCCTCTGTATTTCCAGTTTTCAGCTGGTAGATTCTTGCTATCTAAACTGTAAAGAAGAGTTCAGTGTTATAACAATATTTGGCTTAGGTGCCTGGCTCTGCAAAGGAAATGCTGCATTGATTTCCTCTTACTTATCCGTCTTCCACACGTCTGCAATCAACAAGTTCAAATCATTAAAGCAAAGCCACGTGCCTTTAGAAGACAGTTCTGTTGCTATAGATCTGTAGAATAAACACATTCCAGCTCACAGGATGTGTATCTGCAACCGGCAACAAGGACTTTCCAAAGCACTGTTTAAGGGGAAAGGTTTAAGTACCACAAGACACAAATAAAACAGTGACCTTGATGGAACAAGACTTTCTTCTTAAAACTGACCACCTATTCTCCCCTTTACTAACTTCCCTTAACTCTTGACAACTGTACTAGCCATTTGGGTACACGTATCAAGTATATCAAAAGATAATACATTACTGTTTTATCCTGTGCTAGCAATTAAAACCTCTGAATAGCAGGTTTTGAACGACAGCACAGACATGGGTGCTGTGTTACACCCAGTTAGTTTTGCAATAGGCATGCCTGAAGACTGAAGAAAATAGTTGATATTTTACAGAAAACAGGGGAAGTTTAGATTGGATATAAGGAGGAAATTCTTTCCTGTTAGGGTGCTGAGGCACTGGAATGGGTTGCCCAGGGAGGTTGTGAATGCTCCATCCCTGGCAGTGTTCAAGGCCAGGTTGGACAGAGCCTTGGGTGAGATGGTTTAGTGTGAGGTGTCCCTGCCCATGGCAGGGGGGGTTAGAACTGGATGATCTTAAGGTCCTTTCCAACCCTAACTGTTCTATGATTCTACAATTCTATAAAAACTGAGTGATAGATGTTAATGTCAAAAACTACATCAAAAAGACTGGCTTTTTTCCCCTCTCATGGCTGGTACTCACTAAGCAGCAAATAAAGGTTGGTTTCAAGTACAATTACATTAAAAGATTTTTTTTCTGAGCCTTTATGCTCCAAAACCCCCCAAATCCAATACAGAATCAAGTCCAACACTGATTTTTGACAGTTACTCTATATGTAAGAAATGGTTAATGATTATTTGACAAGGAAAAGCAACTTTTTCAATCCAACAGCTTTGCTTTAGGAAAATGGTGAAATAATTGCTTCTGACAAATTCCAGGAGCATGATGTTAAGAGGCAAGCTCTTGTTCCTGCAAGCGATCCCATGGTGAGGGCAAAAAGAGCAGCTCCAAGGCCTCAAACCACAGTTGTAAAGCAATGGTCAGGAAACACACCTCCCCACAACAAGTTATTTTACACAGAATTTGCTAGGAAAAGAAGATTTAGTGCAGCCTGAAGACTCACTGGACTGTATGCTGAAAGAAAGCTTTGTCCGTGGAGTTATTGGGGGTGGTGTCACTTGGGAGCTGGGAGGTGATGGAGAGACGGAGAAGCGTCTTTCGCTTGACATGACGTTTATGACTTGGCTTTTTGGTCTCTGTGGTCGCAGTGGGCTGATCTGCAGGGGGAAAAAACAGAGATGTTAAAGGAATGCATGCTCCTACTGAAAGCAGAGCTTGGGATTGCTGTGCTTTCCTCACTACCTCTTAAACAGTAACAAGGCAATGGTAACACACACAGTACTTCTGATTTAATGCAGTATTTCACAGCTCCGAATGTTTTCCCCTTCCCCCAAGGAACCACAATGAGATTTAAGGCATACACCTTCCCATAGCCTGGCATATTTCCCTGAAGCAATGAGCCAATCCCCCAGACTCTTGCTTCGTAGCAGCCAAGGAAGTCTATATCCTTACACAACATTATACAGCATTCAGAATCTTTTCTGTGTGTTGTGAAGGAGAAATCTGAAGTGAGGGAGGAGTGCTTCCTTTTGTTTTCACAAAACAAACCTTGAGGCTTTGTACAAAAGGCTGCGTCTCTGAGACCCTTCTGTGGGAAATGAATGACCATAACGTATGTAACTTCTTTTGGGAGTTCATCAAGACCTCTCAGAGACATTCCCAATGCTAAAATTCAAGTTGTAACACTCCAAAGGTTTTTTCTTCCAAGATCTTTTAAAGCATATTTTTAGTATAAAGGATAAGCAAAGGAATCACGTTCTCAGAGGCATGTAATTATATGAAAGCAACTCAGGGAGCCACAGGAATTGATTAGGAAACCTGCAATGCCAGAATCCAGAGAAAACCCAGCAACTAGAATCAAGGTCCTGGGTTAACCTGGTCTTATCTCAAATAATCCTTAATTTCTTCTGTGACTGATGAGCTTGGTCCTCTTAAAGCTTCACATGGCTCTGCCAGGGAATATGAACTCCCTGGAGAGCACTAATCCGTGATGAACCCATTGCTAATATTTTTTGGTCTGACAAAAGCAAGATCGATAGTGAGGGATGTTAAATGCCACTAAGTCCATAAAACAAGCAGCCTGTTATTCTGATTGCTCACACAAGCCTTTGAGGGGTCTGTTCACTTCTTGGCGTCAATGTTAGGTTTGCTACCACAGAATCAAAGAACGAACAATGAGAATTTATGTTAAAGAAGTTTATGTAATATTGAAAAGAAGATATAAATCTTTAGAAAACTATGAAGACATTACTGACCATCTTCACATACCGAAATGCTTAGGTTATCCTCTGACATGATCATAGCAGTGCAAGATCCTGTAATTAGGGCTTGGGTTTTCGTCAGTCCATAAATTAATGATGGGTACAGTGAAATTTGGAAAGAAGTATTGGAACTGGATGATCTTAAGGTCCTTTCCAACCCTAATTATTGTATGATTTAAGCCATGCAACTAGACAAAACAGCCTCTGAATACTCCTTTTTAAAGACTATATAAAAACTCCATGCACTGATTCTACAGTTTTATAATCCATCCATGTTCTTCCATTGCAATTCATGTTACTGGAAAAAAAAGAAACTCCTATATAAGGGAATCCATCACAGTGATGGAAACACTCATTTTGTTAGAGAACACCATCGTTGAAGGGATAGCAGAAGCTCTGCAGAGATGGGAACGGCCACTGTCTGACACGTTGCTGCACGTCTCACTTGATACTCTCTGTAAAACTGGTATCAGCCTTGCAAGTACATTGCACAAAGCAGTGGGTAAACAGGATCTAGAATAGATTCACATTTAAGGTTGTTGCAGCCTTCCCTCCTGAAAGCAAACCCCTGCTAACAACCTCTTTGTAGTGGGTAAAGAACGATTTAGAATCCGAGTGTGGTCAAGCATCAGCTAACTGTGAGATGTTCCACTTAAACCTGAGAAGAAACTTCTTCTCAGTGAGGGTGACGGAACACTGGAACAGGCTGCCCAGGGAGGTTGTGGAATCTCCTTCTTTGGAGACATTCAAGACCCGCCTGGACACGTTCCTGTGTAACCTTATCTAGGTGTTCCTGCTCCGGCAGGGGGATTGGACTAGATGATCTTTTGAGGTCCCTTCCAATCTCTAACCTACTGTGATACTGTGATACTGTGATGTGTGTGGTGGGGTGAATATCTGAAACTGGACTTTTGAACCACCAAGCATAAGCCTGCTATCTGCCAGCTACAACTGGCACGGGATGCTTGTAACCTGTGACGACATGTGAATGAAACAGAGGTGACACACAACAAACTCTCTTGCTAATACACAGAGGTAAGCCAGTGATTAAGAGGCTGACCATGCACTGTGCTCCTGAACATCCATTATTCTGACATAGCTCTCTGCCCAAATCCATCACATGTTCTCGTTTATTCCATCTCATCCATGACAATTTTGAGCACTGTTTTTCCAGGCTGCTGAGTATCCTTCAGCACCACCTCAGACCACACTTAGAATCATAGAATCACAGAATAGTTAGGGTTGGAAAGGACCTTAAGATCATCAAGTTCCAACCCCCCTGCCATGGGCAGGGACACCTCACACTAAACCATGGCACCCAAGGCTCTGTCCAACCTGGCCTTGAACACTGCCAGGGATGGAGCATTCACAACCTCCCTGGGCAACCCATTCCAGTTCCACACCACCCTAACAGGAAAGAATTTCCCCCTTATATCCAATCTAAACTTCCCCTGTTTAAGTTTGAACCCATTACCCCTTGTCCTGTCACTACAGTCCCTAATGAAGAGTCCCTCCCCAGCATCCCTATAGGCCCCCTTCAGATACTGGAAGGCTGCTATGAGGTCTCCACGCAGCCTTCTCTTCTCCAGGCTGAACAGCCCCAACTTTCTCAGTCGGTCTTCATATGGGAGGTGCTCCAGTCCCTGATCATCCTCGTGGCCTCCTCTGGACTTGTTCCAACAGTTCCATGTCCTTTTTATGTTGAGGACACCAGAACTGCACACAATGCTCCAGGTGAGGTCTCACGAGAGCAGAATAAAGGGGCAGGATCACCTCCTTTGACCTGCTGGTCACGCTCCTTTTGATGGAGCCCAGGATACGGTTGCTTTCTGGGCTGCAAGCGCACACTGAAGCCGGCTCATGTTCATTTTCTCATTGACCAGCACCCCCAAGTCCTTCTCCTTGGGCTGCTCTGAATCTCTTCTCTGCCCAGCCTGGAGCTGTGCCTGGGATTGCTCCGACTTCACCGCCCAATCTTGCTCACAAGTACATGGTGTGTCAGATGTGCCACAAGTCACTCTGTAGTCAGCATATTTGGGGTCTGCAACATCATTCCTACCCACAGAGCAGCCTCCTCCATAGAAGAAAGATGGGCTTGACCCATCTGGTGTTGGCAAATCCAAGCTGGATGTTATTCTTTCGCCCATTCTCTTGAGGATACTTATAAATTGTCACTGTACTAAAGCAAAGCATGTCTCCTGCTGTAAAGCCCCCAAATATTTGACAAGTCAGGACTCAGAATCCATTAGAAAATTCACCAAATAACTGAAATCTTGTAATCGAATTAGTGATGGTACAAGGGAGTTCTAAACTCTCAACAGAACAAATCCAGTAACTATCATACAAAATCTAGTAACTAATAGTAGTTTATTATTAAAATCTCACTTTTAAAGCTCTTTAAGTCTTTCATTTTAATTTCAATTTCCAGTAAAACCTGGATTCCAACTTTTTTCTTTTGGAAAAAACTAACCTCTAATTTTCCTCCTCTTCCATTGTATCATCACCTTTTCTTCTCACAAACTTTCTGCTTCCAAGGTATTCATGCCAGAGAGATCAAAACGCCTTATTCTTCATAAAACACAGACGTAACAGTGCTCTGGGAGCGATTTCAACTTTAAAAGGGAACTGTTACAGAGTTCAGCCCACAAAAGTGGAACAATGGGAAAGCTGAATTCTTACCCACAAAAGATGAGAATTTCCCTTTTATATCATTAATAAGGGGATGCGTCTGCAGAACACAAAGAGTTTAAGACAAATTTTATCTTTAAGCTGCTTGCCATGATATGTATAAAATTCCCGAAGACAGCAGTGGGAATTTTACTGTAGACTGATCTCAAGAGAGCGGCTCCTCTATTTCACCTGCAAGAGAAAGCAAACTGCACTAACAGCAAGCATTAAAACTTGACTCAGGTGTTTTGGAGCTCATCAAGGAGTTTGCAGATACTGAAAAAGGAGTTTTTCTCTCACCAGCAAACTCCTTTTTTTATTATTGATCTATGGATTTCAAGAAGCTGAAAGTAACTAACTCTGACATTTGATTCCCCTTCCTCACTATAACCAGTGGTATCAGTCATACCAGTCATGCACTGAAAGCTCGACTGGGAATAGTGGAAAACTTGAGCCAGCCCATGTTGGGCTTTGCTTGGTTTTGTTCCTCTGACGACAAATGGAGATATGCCTTGAAGGGTTCACGTGTCCTTTCTAGACAGCATTTCCATTTTTCCAGTCATAAGCAATCTTCTCCAATGCCCAAGACCTCTCAGAGATGACAGTGACCTTGCAGTGACACCAACCAGCTCTCCAGCATCCCTGGATGCCTCCCATCTGGTGTAGTGGAAGGTGTCCCTGCCCATGGTAGAGGGCTGGTACTGGATGGGCTTTAAGGTCCTTTCCAACACAAACCATTCTGGGATTCTATGATATGGAAATCTCACCAGAAGTATTCTCTGTCTGAAAACACTCTAATGATGCTGACCTGGCTGGCTTTGGCAGGAGAAAGCTCCATTCAAACAAACCATGGCGGATCCTAAATGTGCTGAATTCAATGGGAAAAGTTGTTGGATTCAAAGGAGCTTGGGTGAAAAGCCTGAGATGCGCAAAGAGGATTTTATCTGGGGTTTTTGCTGAGCTCACATTGGGTCTACATCAGACAGAACAACTCTGATCTCCCCAGCTGTTAGAAGGCACATCTGAGACATTAAGCTCATCTTCGGATGGAAAAGAAGGAGCAAACCCAGAAAGCAGAGGAACAATGGCTGAAAACCTCAGTGACATGCCACTACAAACAGCAAAGAGGAAGACTTACAGGATCTACTTATCGCAAGTCAGGGAGAAATCATTCTGCAAGCCCAATGTAAACGGCACAGCCACCAAAGCAAGGCTCTGCTGAGTTGTATGTTGGCTCTACAAGTACTTGTGCAAATCTCTGGCAGAACACTGCAATTCTTTCTGAAGGGCAAACTTTAAACGACTGGTCTCCAAAGAGGTGTCCAGGCAGAGATCTGGAGGTGACACGTAGTTCACACAATCCCTGCTCCAGCTTCAAATGGCCTTGCTTTCAGTTTCAGAGCTAAAACTTCTCGTTACCCAAGCCTTTAGGATACTTTCAGTGAATTAAACACATGCCAAGGAGAGAGGGTTTAAGAGAGATATGTCCTGTAGTTACTATCCTTACACACAGCCACCACTGGAACTGCATGATTTTCTGCTCAAAACAGCCTTCCAGAATACATAATTGCCACACACAAAATGACCTTGTAACATTCCCACCAAACAGTGTCTTGCAGTAGTCAGCTGAAATATGAGAAAACCCATCAGGATCTATTGGGAACCTTAAATATAAAACCGGCTGCTAAAATGGTAGCATTTATTTTACTTAGGATGTACCATCTGTTCCTTTTATCAAATAGTCCTATATAGCTTTTGGTTAAGATTTTCTTATGAGAGACTGTGATTTTTTTACACTGTAAATAAACCCAGTGGTTTTGATGCATTACCACATACATTACTATAGTAGCATATTCCCTTGGAGATAGTTTTGGCCTAAAAAGAAACTAAATCACAAAAAACACTGTTTTTCTTTAAAAAGAGAAAGAACACTGCTCAGGATTAGATAAAGCATTACTTGCAAATCAAGTTACCGTTTCTGACAGGATCACTGCTTCAGACTGCTGCAGAGAAATATCAGTAGATTTAAATTCTTTATCAAATATCTCTTGATGCTTGCTGTTCCTTTTCTCTTTCTTCTTTTCTTTCTTATCTTTATCTAGGTCATCCTTGTCCAGCTTATCTTGAGACCTAGAATGCATCTTTTTGGGCAGGAGGGGCTCCAGCACAAACCTAAAGGAAATTGTTGATGGTTAGAGCAGTAAAATACCACTTGGAAAACACATAACTTTTGTTTGTATGCTTCCCAAAGTCTCCTTTCATAGAATCACAGAATCATCTATGATCCTCTGAGTTAGTGATGCTTCGCTAAGCCAGGAAAACTGAGCACAGAGAAAAGGAGGGGGCAGAAGGTTGTAACAATCATAATTGTCTTACAATAAAATTTACTGCTGAAGACCCAATACTGGGTATTTCCCTGCTCTGTAGTAAATTAACTGGTTTACAGCTACACAGACTCCTGAGTTCCACTGCATGTGGTTTACATAACAATGAGGTTTCCATTCAGCACTCCCACTACACATGGCAGGGGTGCCAGCACCCACCTGGAAAGCAGCGCTATATAAGCATAGGTAATTGCACAGTGCATTAAAGAAATGTCACTCCTATGTTCCCTGCACCCCTGATAGACACAGTCCATGTGTCTACCAATGCCAAGTCCCCAAATTCCTCGTGGATCTTCATTTTTTTGGCTTCATTTGAGTGGAGAAAGAGGACGTATTTATTCCCCAGAGAAGGAATAACAGCTCAGAAATTGCCTTGCAGAGGTGGAGTGATTTTCTGTGGAACATGCACAACAGAAAATGCTTTTTATCCTTGTAACTCGTGACAATTACAGCACCTGCTCTCTGAAAAGCAAACAACATCACCCCTAATGCAAGGGAAACACTTATACGGGGCACAAAAGCAGGAGGTATAGAGGTTTAACCTCAGACACAAGCCCCATTCCTGTCTCTAATAACACCTTGTTTGTATATTTGGTTTTGCATGCATTTTTATAGCATTTTGGCTTTATATATATATATAAAATCATATACTTGAGGACATATATCCATATGAGTGCCCACACCTCTGCTTCCCTACAACATGCCCTGGTAAGGGGAACCCAGGAGGGCTGAGCTAAGCTGTTCTGGTGTTCCAGATACACTCCAGAATGACAAATCAGCCAGATGCTAGCAAAGGGCAAGGTTACTTTCCAAAACCCAGATGTATTTTCCCACCTGGAATGCTCTGAGTGTGTGAATACAGGCAAGCTTGATGTACTACAGCCATCAGCTCTGCAATTTTTATGGTTCATGACTATTATTTTTCTGGCTACAAAGGAAAAAATCTTTAGGGGTTGAAGGAACTTTTAAAGGAAAACTTCATTTTTCAAAGGGTTTTTATTGCAGAGGGAAAGTACTATTCTAGAGTAATATTGGAACTCTTCTTCGCTGATTTAAAGGAATCTTATCTTACCTTTGTTAATGACTAGTTTGAATACAAGGTAGGTATTTTGCTCTTCTTGAGCTAAAACATTCTTAGGTAGACAAAGTATTTTATGATTTATTTTATATTATAAACTAATACACCAAACTCATACCTTGGTCAGATTTTACCTGATTGTACCCTGACAGGTTTTCATCACATTACAAAACTGAAACCAAACCAAAAATCCTCCCCAAAAAGGAACCAGCTTATGTTTTAACATTGGGAAAGTATTTATTATCCCATGGGGACACATGCACGTACAGGCCACAATCTTAACTGTGTTCAGTTTTGGTCCCACTGTACAAAAAAGATGTGGATGGGCTGAAGATGGTCCCATAAAGATGATCCAAGGGCTGGGAAGCTAATGAGGAAAGGCTGAGAGAGCTGGGCTTGTTCAGAGAAGGCTGGAGAAGGCTCAGAGGAGACCTTATCACCATGTTCCAGTATTTAAAGAGTGGCTACAAGGAAGATGGAGACTCCCTTTTTACAAGGAGTCCCATGGAAAAGACAAGGGGTGATGGGCACAAGTTACTCCTGAGGCGATTCCAACTGGACACAAGAGGAGAATTTTTCCCAATGAGAACTATCAGCCATTGGAATAATCTCCCCAGGGAAGTGGTGACTCCCCAGTGTTGGACATTGTTAAGATTGGGCTGGACATCAAGTTTAGATCATGCTTTACCTAGAAAGGCTGAACCAGGTAATCCCTGAGGTCCCTTCCAATGGGGTATTCTGTGATTCTGTGATTGAAATACTGAAATTTGCAGTACAGTAATCCTAATCATCTCCATCAGCAGCAATACCCAAAATTACTGCTCTTTGTTATGTTTGAAGCACTAAAGGCTATTCAGTCTTTATCCTGAGTTAGCTCATTTGATGCAAACAAGCTCCAACCTGCGGCAGAGGTCCCTGAGCCATTATGCTTCATAACCAAAGCCAAAACCATGTGGTTTGGGAGACAAAACTGCAAGCTTTCTTCCTCCCATTCTACAGATAGGGAAAAGGGAAGGTAATGATTTGCCCAGGGCCACAACACCTGGGCCAGAAGACACCAGCTCTCCAAACACCATGTGTTTTACCCACAAATTGCCTTCTACGAGGCTGGAGGGCAGCGACAGCCACCTCGTAGGCTGATTGCAATTTTACAAGAGGAATTGCCATTCTTCAGACAATGATTAATTGCTTCCCTCCCAGGCATTACTATTATTAGGACTATTAATAATCTGTATGCAATGTATGGGTGATAAAATGGGTTATCATGCCGTGCTCCTACTTGAAGTACATTAGGACTTTCAACAGATGGCTGATCACACAGGCATACTGGGACTTCCCCACTTCCAACCACTGCTTAGAAGTGCTCAGATTTGTACTTCTAAGTCCCCTTTTAAGCAGGGAATAAACCCAAGGTCCTTTTTTAAAGTCAGAGTTTTATTTTACATAGAGCTATAAAACACATTATACATTGGGAGTTGTAAAACACATACTATATCAATGTCCCCTTTGAGTTTTTACTGTTTAAAAGCTCCAAAGCAGGAGATGGCATAAAACAGAAGTTGGATGAGCTGGGCAACACAATCTGTGAGCTCTGTTTTCAATAGTTTCTTAGTTTCATCTGTGATCTCAGAATTAACGTATGAATAGGGGGAAAATGGAAAGCAGGAGAGGACAACTGACCATAAACCGAATCAACTACGGTAGGTACATGGGGGAATCTTCTTCTTCCAAGTTAGTAGTGACAAAGCACCCACATGCTTTTTACACTCATTTGAATTTTTGAGGTCCTTATGTTCTTTACATCTGATGATATTTCTCTTGCTCCACTAATCAAGCAAATGAGTGTTTTCCCCAGGTTTTCCCAGTGATGACAGTTGTTCATTATAGTTTCCTCACATGGATCCCAGATGTATTGCTCCGGGCTTGAAGTAGGAGCTGAGCTACACTGTGATCTTCATAAGGGTTATTTTAATATACATACTAAGTGGACCCATGAGATGCTCCCAAACTGCTGAGTGACACCTCCTTCAGCAAAGCTGGGATGGAGAGGTGAAAGTTAAGAAAAGAGCATCCAATGAGAAATGAAATTATATATAATGATTTTGAAGGGAAATAGATAAAGAAGTGGATGAAGAGAAGAACCTCATAGCAGCCTTCCAGTATCTGAAGGGGGCCTATAGGGATGCTGGGGATGGACTCTTCATTAGGGACTGTAGTGACAGGACAAGGGGTAATGGGTTAAAACTGAAACAGGGGAAGTTTAGATTGGATATAAGGAGGAAATTCTTTAATGTTAGGGTGGTGAGGCACTGGAATGGGTTGCCCAGGGAGGTTGTGAATGCTTCATCCCTGGCAGTGTTCAAGGCCAGGTTGGACGAGGCCTTGGGTAATATGGTTTAGAGTGAGGTGTTGCCCATGGCAGGGGGGTTGGAACTTGATGATCTTGAGGTCCTTTCCAACCCTAACCATTCTATGATTCTAAGAAAAGGATCAGGATTTTATTTCTGAGACAAAGTTGTCCACTATCCAGGGATGAATCCAGGAAGACAACTTTCGTGGATGAATTAAAACACATCCTCATCTCTGCTGTCGTACGCTTATATCACCATGACTCACTGTGTATACTTTATGGAGGGTAATGCAATGGAGCTGAGCTACAGTTCTTCCCAATGGGTAAATAAACTGTTTGTAATCAAGGGACGTATCATATAGGTCCTTAGGTGCTGTGTTTAATTGACACTCTGGTCAGGTAGAAACTGCCTCTGAAGGTTCACAGGGGACACTCATGTTTCTAGCTCTAAGTTAGCATCCCTTCAGGAGGCTTTAAAAACCTGCCTCCTTGGTCAAATATTAAGTTTCTGGATTATGGGAACACCTGGGGGGAGGAAGAGGGAGAAGGAAACTTCTGAACCCCACAAAGCAAACAGATTATGCTGGTCTTTTGAGGGATGTGCCTGTGAGACAGGGCTTATCAACAGGATTCCTGGTTCTCGCATGAAATATCTTGATAAGTCTTGAAGTACAACGTTGCCATAAGCAGCTTTTCCTCTGGCAGCAGAAGTGAGCAGAAATGATTGAGCAGGTAGCTAATCCCTTCCTTCTCCCAAGATCCACCTGTTTTTACCACGACAGGGCTGGCTGAACATACATCTCATCACTGACTTTGGACAGCATCACTCTGACCTATTACACTTGTGACACCTTAAAAGGGGATCATTTATCTCCTGCTTGTTTGGGGTTTTCAGTTTGAATGCTTAGGGGATTGTGTTTAACTTTGTTATAAGGAGAACCAAGAAAAGCATCACATTAATGGTTAAAAAAGGGACAAAGAATATATCTGGAGATAAATGTCTGTATAGTTTGGGTTTTTTTTAGCCAAGGCTGACTTAAAGGCACCATGCCTACCCCACACTAGTTAGTCACATTGTTGTGTCACATTAGTGTTTGTGGGATACGATCATGAACCAAGTCTGGAATAAAACACACTGGGAAAAGTCCCCACCAAAACACCCCACGGTTCCTTATGAGAGAAAACCACTATCCTGCTGCCACACAGGAGGAGTCAGTGGGATCGGAAAGAGTAACACTGACATCTGGAGTGGGGTGGGGATGATCCTCAAATCCTATCAATGTGCACACTAAACCGTGCTCTTTACAGAGGTAAGACCTGAATGGCTATTTCTTACTCACCCATCCGAGCCAGGTCGAGAAGGTGTGCTGTCAGAGGAGATGGAAGACACTGATGCAACAGAGAGGGGCCTTGAAGATGATGGCATTGTGAAGGATCTCACCATAGACCGTGGCCGGCTGCCTCGTCTGTCATCCAGACTTGAAAGCTGCAATGAAGAAACACAAGATCTTACTTCTTAAATCACAACAGAGCTGACATCTGGTTACCAAAAGTGATGTGGAGATGTTCCATGGCTTTTCTTCTATGTGGAGTTTGTTATGATTTAATTATTCATTGTGTTTAACAACAAAGGAACAAACTCTAAAGAAAATCCACTTAAAGGACTAGGAAGAAATATGTAGGTCCTCATAGGCACGTGTATAACTTTAATCATATTCCAATAATTCCTTGGTTTCAATGGTATTTACACGCTTTTTTTACATCTGGGCTTTGAAAAGGAGCTTTCTACAAATAACTTTGGTTTTCATCCATCTTCACATCTGAATTCACTGCCCTGTCAGTATATTTAAATGAAATGGAGCTTAAAAAAGAAAAAGACAAGGAAAGATATTCAAAAGAAATGCGAAGAGAGCCAATTTACAGAGTGACATCGAGGTGACGAAGGAAATCTATGAAAGGTTTTTTATGCTGTTTCAGACAATTTCAGAGTTCTGAATATTTATGCAAGCTTTGTTAGTCATTAATAACTGGTATATGCATAAAATAATTGAACTCTTTCAGTCAACAAATAAGAAGCTCATGCTGTTTAATTACAGGTATATTTTCCACCCTGTCAGCTCCTGGTAAATTGGCCTTGTACAAGGAAGACAGAAGCGATAAAACTCCATCAATCCTGACAATTCTTACTGGTGGGTAGAATGAAATTAGAGAGATAACACCACCTGAGTATGACTTTCCAGTGAAAAGTCATACTTCATTGAAATGACTGACACACAAGTATCATTAATGTCAATTATTCCTGCTCTCCTCGGGAATAAATTGCTATTAGAACTTTTCTCCTCTTAAATATACTGCCAAGATGGGATTTGAAGGGCTACAAACAGAACACCACTTAGAAGGGTACCATAAAGGCTCGCACATTCCCCATAAGATCTCACTGTTCCCATTAAGAAAAGTCATCACTATAGACAAAAGTGAAAATTAATCTCTGAAAGAAGGCCTGTCATAAAATACAACAGGATACTTCACTGGCATGCACTATGGCATACACTATTACACTGAGGTTTTGGGAACTCAGAGAACATCACTTGGTGCTTCTTTGCTGTCCTGCCTGATGCAGCATCTTTCTTGCCAACCCCTCAGCCCAGGATGCTCTGTATCCCACAGAATCCCAGACTGGTTTGAGTTGGAAGGGAGCTTAAAGCTCACCCAGCTCCAACCCCTGCCACGGGCTGGGACACCTTCCATTAGAGCAGCTTGCTCCAAGCCCCTGTGTCCAACCTGGCCTTGAACACTGCCAGGGATGGGGCAGCCACAGCTTCTCTGGGCAACTCACTGTGCAGAAAGCAGAAGTTCCCTCCCTCACTGTATCCTGCACCATCCACTCCTGAGAATAAACCTCTGTGGGAGTTTCCATAGACAATTTGGAACCAAATGCACATCCTGTTTACATTGATGTGATTGACATAACATCCATAAACTCAGTGGCGTGTGCCCATTAGTGACCATAACCAGAACTGGATGAGAAGGGTGCTGTTTGAAGGCTATTTAGGCACGTCTTGATTGCTTCACTCATTTTAGAATCAGTTTAGTGACTACTGCTCATTTAGGGGTAGAAGTAACAGTGAAGAACTTCTAATTGGTACAGTTTTCCAATTTTCTAATAATCATTTATTTCTAATTTATTAAGGGCTGGATTGTGATGGAGCTCCCTTCTGATATCCTTGCCTTGGAAGGTTTAAGGATGGGAAGGCAGGAAGGGCATGAAAAGGGTGCAAAGGTCCTCTGTGACCTCCCTGTGCAACTATGCTTTAGACACAGTTTTCAGACAATAGGTGAAAACCACAACTGCAGATGCTTGTAGCCTCATGGCTGCAGAAGGTAACCTTCAACATCTGAGCCCATGAAGTACTATCTGTCTCAGTATGCATGTGAATTGACACAGCATCTCCAAACATGATGATCCAACCCCAACTGGGGCAACCATGCAATTTAACCTTTCCTATAAGGAAGCCACCACACACAGGATCATCTTTAAGGTCCCTTCCAACACAAGCCATTCTGTGTTTCTATGATTCCAAGTTCAGCAGCAAAGGGAGGGTGCCAGATCCTCCTGGCACTTCCAATGTGCCAAGGGCAGGCTTACAGCCACCATGGCACCCTGTGGTGCCATCCTGCTGCCCATGGGATGGGGTGAATGGGGTGTCCCTGTGCTGAGGTGGGGGGACCTGCAGAGCCATAAGGCAGGAGAGGATCCACAATTCACCATTACAGGGCTGATGGAGGAAGCCAGCTGTCTACCAAGTCATCCTAGTGCTGTACCACATACCTCTGTGGCAAGAGGACAGATGGGTCATTTCTCATAAATCTATGTGCTTTATTTTCTGGAGCAGTGGGAAGAGATGCACAGCACATGCAGGTTTCAAATACTGCTGTCATTCCACAAATAAACCTAAAGGTTACAGCACTTTTACACCACTGCTGTCACAGCTTCCAGCAGAGAGAGGTAAAGCTCACCCTGGCAGCCTTGAGCATATTAGGACACCAGCTCCACATCACCAGTCCTAGAACTACTCTAACCATTAAGGGTGCTGAGGTGCTGGCACAGGGTGCCCAGAGGAGCTGTGGCTGCCCCATCCCTGGCAGTGCTCAAGGCCAGGTTGGACACAGGGGCTTGGAGCAAGCTGCTCCAGTGGAAGGGGTCCCTGCCTGTGGCAGGGGTTGGAGCTGGGTGAGCTTTAAGGTCCCTTCCAACCCAAACCAGTCTGGGATTCTATGAATTATGCAGCTGTACGCTGGCTTTTGGCCTTCCTCCCTCATGTGTAACACTCAAATGCAAAGCAGATCTCCACTGGAAAACCACTAAATACTTGGTTGTGCCTTAAAGATGAAGCAGCAACTGAAAACAGCTTGTTGGGATGGCAAAAGCAGGAACTCCAGCACTATGAAATCCCATCAAGTAGCAGTTATCTTATTACTGCCCGCCTGCATTTAGGGTGGTACCAGAGTATGTAAGGCTGTATGAAACTCTAGAGCAGCAGAACCTTCATGTGTCAAAAGGAATTACATCTATGGAAAGGTGATATTCAGCTCTAGGAGAACCATGCTATAATGGCAATTTTGTTTTGGTTGTTTTAAACCCATTTCCCTAAAAACTGAAGAATTATCTTGACTTCAGGCAATTTAGGAACTGTTCCCATGCTGGGAAATGAAAGCACGAAGGCTTTCTGAGCATCTTTAATAGCATCCACTCAGTATTTAATAATCTGATGACCACTGAGAACAAGCAGGCAATGCTGCATCAACCCTGCTTTTGTCACCAGTGGGAATTATAAGAGACAAACAGACCACAGCCTGGAATTTAAGGGAAATCCACATATCTAGGAAATACGAAGTTAGCAGGTAACTTACGACAGCGCGGACCCCGTACTGCTTTTCCACTTTGTCTTTCAGTTGCCTGAAGCAAGCCTCCATCCGCTCGTGGAAGGGCCTCAGTGCCTCCGTCACCTTCTCCCCATGAATCCGGATGCCTTCCGCCAGGAATGGGATCTGGAAAGCAGAGTTATGCTGCTTCAGTCTGCCTGGTCCTTCCTAACGGAAGGGTTAGGGCGAGACCCCCAAGTATGTTGCAAGAGGGGCGAAAGAGCTCATATAATTAAGAATAATAATGATGATAATGACAATAATGATAATAACAACAACAATAACACCATCAACAACAACAATCATGAGACTTGTTCAGCCTGGAGAAGGCTCCTGAAGGGGAGACCTTAGAGCAGCTCCAGTGCCTGAAGGGGCTGCAGGAAACCTGGAGAGGGGCTTGGGACAAGGGCCTGTAGGGACAGGCCAAGGGGAATGGCTTGAACCTGCCCGAGGGGAGACTGAGCTGAGCTCTTAGGCAGAAGCTCTTCCCTGTGAGGGTGCTGAGGCGCTGGCACAGGGTGCCCAGAGAAGCTGTGGCTGCCCCATCCCTGGCAGTGTTCAAGGCCAGGTTGGACACAGGGGCTTGGAGCAAGCTGCTCCAGTGGAAGGGGTCCCTGCCCGTGACAGGGGTTGGAGCTGGATGAGCTTTAAGGTCCCTTCCAACACAAACCATTCTATGTGTCTACGATTCTACGATCCCCATAATTCATTAGCTGTGAATCATAACATAGTAAAAAAAGGATCTAAAAATCTGTTATAAATGATTTCCTTCTTCCTCTGTTAACTAAAGTCCATAGCTCTGCCCTGGAATCACACGCTGGAGGCACAGCTGAATTTATCAGACAGCACAAACACTCCTGTGATGTTATATTCACAGGCCCCCATACACACTGCACTACCAAATGGCAAACTGATGAATGCTGACTCTCACACTGGGTTATTAATACCAGTCCCTTCCCTGCTTCGTGAGGATATAACCTTAAAGGAGAAAATACTTGCATGCTTTGTTTAATAAATCCTATTTATATAACTGGTAATGGTCTACATTCTCTGACGTGTATATATTGCAGAGCAGTATTTATTAATAAAACACATAGGTTTATGTACTACGCATTTCTCCTTAGAAAAACCCTTTTATTTTCTTTGGGAGCAAAACAGAGGAGAATAAAATTAAATTAATTCTCTGTTGTAACTGAAAATAATCATTTATCTTCGAGGCTTCTGTCACAGCATATCCCTGCCAACAGAGGATTATAGAATTAGTTCATAGTGTGGAGGTGTAGCTGACCTTTTAAAATGGTTTAGGAGAGACATTTTCATTCCCACAGCCATCCAGACACACCATTAGAGTTTGCTACCTCCAGCTTAGGAAAAATATTTCCTCTTCCAGGTCTGCTTCAGCCCACACAGTGCTCTAACTTGGATCTTCTCTGCAGCAATCAAGCTAAGAGGCTGCTTCTTCATAATTCATAATTAAATCATAATACTGATTAAAACCAGATCTTTCTAATAGGACTGAGCAGCAATCAGAAGGAGCAGCTTTATTGGTAAGAATAATAAATACACAGGTGAATTAGGGACTTCATTAGGGACTGTAGTGACAGGACAAGGGGTAACGGGTTCAAACTGAAACAGGGGACGTTTAGATTGGATATAAGGAAGAAGTTCTTTCCTGTGAGGGTGGTGAGGCACCGGAATGGGTTGCCCAGGGAGGTTGTGAATGCTCCATCCCTGGCAGTGTTCAAGGCCAGGTTGGACAGAGCCTTGGGTGCCATTGTTTAGTGTGAGGTGTCCCTGCCCATGGCAGGGGGGTTGGAACTGGATGATCTTAAGGTCCTTTCCTACCCAAACCATTCTATGATTCTATGAGCTACAGATGAACAAACTCAAGCAATCTTACCTAGAGAGTTCTCCGTGATTTGGCACCCTTTAAATGGACCCAGACTCTCTTAAAAGACTATAAAGTAAGAATTATGACAGACTGTTTTGACTGCAGCCACTTTCCAAATGGAAGGTGCCAAGGAGGGTTTCACTGTTGGGATACACACCGGGTGCATACAACCAGCTTGAGAAGCAAAATAATAAGAGAGTTGATGGCCAAGTCTGCTGGAGTGAGTGTAGGTTTGGAGAACAGGAGCACCTAAAGGCTGGTGGCCAACTGGAACTGTTAAGGGACTGAGGAACAGGCAAGAGGAGGCACCCAACTATGAGGGAATCAAAGCAGACCAGAGCCCATAGAAGAAGAAGGAAAGACTTGTTATTCCTTAACAGAAGCTGAACTTAATAAACTCCCCATGGCTTTGGTACAGAACTTCTGTGAGTCAGGATGTTTGGTCTCCCTGTCCAAGGCCACATTTATCTAGTGCAGAAAGAAATTACCTTCAGACTGTCTTACTACTTCTGCTTCACTTTCTATTAACTTCAGAGTTCTTCCCCCATCTCCTTTCCAGACAGTGACACAAGGAAATCTGGTAGAGTGACACTGAGTTTTAAACCTCTATGAATCTGTGTCAGATGAAGAGACAGAGGCAGAATTTGCCATGTTCATAGAATGGAATCATAGAATCAACTGGGTTGGAAAAGGCCTTTAAGATCCTCAAGTCCAACCATTAGCTCAGCACCGTCAAGCCCACCACTAAACCATGTCACTGGGATAGATATCACAACATCACTACGATATTGTGAATTCATTTGGGTTTGAAGCAATGGGGGGGGGTTTTGCTTATGGCTCTATTGCAAAAGACTCTACAGGCACCCTCATCTTTGGAGAAGTGGATGAAGAAGCAAAGTAGCTGAGCTAGAAACGCGCAAGCTAAATGAGAAAGGAAACCAGCTCAAGATAAGACTTATTTTATCCTTCTAATCTTTGTTGATTTTAAAGTTTCATGAAGTTCCACTGCAAATTAAAATTAATGTCTGACTTTTGTCTTTTTCTTTTAAAATATTTTCATCAGCTTGGCTGAAATAAAAAAGCGACATGGATTTCAATTATTAAAATTAATCTTATAGCCCACATATTAAAAGAAAGTCTTTCATAATAATGATATAAAATATGATGATAAAGGCTTCATTTGGTATGCTGCGATTCAGCTGTGTGGTCCATACTACTTCTGGTATGCTGTAAATGCATAAGCTAAACACAGTGATTGATGTCATCAAATATTCATTTTGCTGCCATAATTTCAATCAATGATTTCATTATCTTCATGTTAAACAAAAGATCTTGGACTGATGTTGTTCCATGGAAATCCTTTGTTTCCTAAGTCAGAAAAGCAAAAAAGACGGGCAAAAAAAGGAGATTGCTTTACTAATGATGTTTATTTTGTGAAACTGTGCACTTGAAGTTCACAGGAATTATAAAGGGATAATATCCTGAAGAGCATGAATTCCATAGCACAGTGGAGAGAAAAGTAAGGTAAGGAGATAGGAAAAGAATCAAATTTAACTAGTCAGCTGATAACACGATTGTCAGGCTCCTATTTCATATATCCAGATTGATTTATACAACATAAAGCAAATCTCCATGTGATTACAAAACTCCAAGCCCCACATTATTGAAAGATGAAAACTCATTTTTGCATTCTATCACTGTCAAGGCCGTGATGAATTCAGACCAGTGCCTCGCTCCGCAAAGCTGCCATAACAATTCCCTCTCCTGACACCAGCCAATCCTTGGCAGGCAGCTCCCCACTGACACAGCCTGTGCTTGGAAGACTGAAATTAGGTGAGAGGAGGTTTAAGTCTTAGGATAAATGGAATGTATATGAAATATGTAATGTAATTGAAAAGCACTGATTTCCACTGTGAAACTGCTACACCCTTTCTGAAACAACTTTTCATCTATAAAAAGCAGGTTTGGATTCCTTTTCTCTATTTTTCTGGTTCCCAGTGTTTAGAACTCCAGTAGTGATGGGGAATTATCATACAATCCCAGATTGGTTTGGCCTGTAAAGGGACCTTAAAGCTCAGTCAGTTCTAACCCCCTGCCACGGGCAGGGACCCCTTCCACTAGAGCAGCTTGCTCCAAGCCCCTGTGTCCAACCTGGCCTTGAGCACTGCCAGGGATGGGGTGTATTTAATTATATATTTAAAACCACTGAATAATTAAAACAGGACCTGATTAGCTGCCATACATATTTTCAAATACCAATACTATTTTAATACCTAAATGTCACCAAAGTGAATCTTTGCTGAGGGAATGTGTGTTTGTAATTCATCTGAAGTATTGCTATCAGAGGCAAAGGCATGGAGCTGACATGAAGTGAAGTCTTCTGGGATCAAATTATTTTCCTCTATAAAACTTAAAGTTCCTAAAACCTAATCTTCTGCAAAAGCTCACAAGGAAATAAATAAACACATAAGTTTTTTGCAGGCCAAAAGAGTTTTTATTCAGTTAGAGCTTTATGGTCTTCAGGGGATTTTTTTCCTTAAATTCAGTATCTTTGGTTCTACAACATCTGAGATTGAATCCTATACAAATGTAAATTATTCCCTTTATAATAAAGATAAATTGAATGTAAAAAGACAACGATGCACTCTGTTCTTCTGTGGGAAAAACACTTCCAAGCATATTGGTATGTTTTTAGGGATCATAAAACTACCTTGAGACCACTGGAAAGTGTCCAGCATATGACTATGGAACAAAAAGTGGAAATGTTTCTTATTTGTCCTGGAAAATATCCTTTGGTACATGTAAATCAGTTCTTCATGTAGGAGGGTTCCTGCTCTGTCTCAGGCACAGGGCTGGAAACCTGGGTTCCAATCCCAGTTCAGGTAATACTGCCTGTATCATCCTACATTTAAGTGATTTCTCCTCTAAAACACTGTCATAAAAATACCAGGTAATTTCAAAAGCTTTATGGATCATGAGTATTATTGTTCCATGTTAAGGTATACAGAAAACAAACCAAAAGGTTCATAACATCTAAAATGAATTTACTAAGTATTTTGCATGGAAGCTGTTCTGCAACTCTCACATTGAATATTCTGTGCTAAAAAGTACTGGAAGTATGAACAGAAAGGTTAATAAAAGGAAGATATGCTCAAAGAATCATAGAATAGTTAGGGTTGGAAAGGACCTTAAGATCATCAAGTTCCAACCCCCCTGCCATGGGCAGGGACACCTCACACTAAACCATCTCACCCAAGGCTTTGTTCAACCTGGTCTTGAACACTGCCAGGGATGGAGCATTCACAACCTCCCTGGGCAACCCATTCCAGTGCCTCACCAGCCTCACAGGAAAGAATTTCCTCCTTAGATCCAATCTAAACTTCCCCTGTTTAAGTTTTAACCCATTACCCCTTGTCCTATCCCTACAGTCCCTAATGAAGAGTCCCTCCCCAGCATCCCTATAGGCCCCCTTCAGATACTGAAGTTGTTTGAACTGGTGTTCAGATACAGATGTTGTTTGAAGAAAGAAGTGAATATGTGAAAAAATACTGTCCCAGCGTGTGCAAGCAGGGGAGGGATTCAGGGTTAGGGATTTCTTTTTACTGCCTGTGAAGAGTTCCTGAAATCAGCCTTAGAAAATTCAAATGCAAAACTAAACTACCAGTAACACCAACCAGCATCATTACAAAGTATTTTCTGAGCAGACCTAGATGGGGTATTTCCACTGTATTCTGGTTACAAAAAGAAAGTAAGAAAGAAAAGAGGTTGATCATGTGTGTTCCTTGAGGGTTTATCAAAAGACAAATGATGTCAGGTTTGGAAAGATGCACTTTAGCTCAAATTCCAACAGTTTTAAATGGCAATGAAGTGTACAAAGGGTGAATAGTTTAATGCCTGCTTTTTCTCAAAAGTGACACTAAAGTGCCTTTGCACAGCAGTTGAGCCCGACCAACCTGACTGAAAGTCTCTTACCTGCCAGGCGATCAGATCCTTCAGCTTCTCAATCTTGTCATGATCTTCTGGATGCTCGTGCATGTATTTGTCAGTGAAAAAAGCCTGGGTAAGAGACAGAAATGAGAAGTTATTTCAGAGAGGGAATCAATGTCCACTGCCACGGCAGAATTACCTACAGCAAAGAGAAATTAATGCATCCAAAGGTTCTGCAGGGCAATGAGAGATACAAATACAAAGTGAAGATCTAGGAAAGAGATGCAGAATTTAACAGTGTTTTAAGATTAAGACATCAGCAGAGTAGGCAGATGAGCAGATGGTGATCAAGTTCAAATCTCATGGGCAGAGGACTTGGCACAGCTCTGAAATGGCTTTCTATCAGTTCCAGAAATTATAGTATGTGAAATGGGTGAGAGTTACAGAAGGACATCAACAGATGGATAGAACAACACATACATCAGCGTGTACATTCTCCATTTAAGTTAGGACATACATCTTGTTTGTGTATGCCAACTCTATATGACTAATATTCATAGAATCATGGAATGATTTGGGTTGGAAAGGGACCTTAAGATCATTCAGTTTCAGCCCCCTGCCACAGGCAGCAACACCTTCCACTACACCGGGCTGTCCCAAGCCCTGTCCAACCTGGCCTTGAGCACCATCAGGGATAGGGCAGCCACAGCTTCCCTGGGCACCCTGTGCTACCACCCTCACAGTGAAGAACTTCTTCCTTATATCCAGCCTAAATATTCCCTGTTTAAGCTTGAACCCCTTACCCCTTGTCCTATCACTGCAGTCCCACACATATGCACAACATAACAATAGATACAGCATTTATCATTTCCCGATGCTCCTATCTCATCCCATATAACTTTAAAAGCTAATGCTGCATACATGCAGTTAAGACTATTTGCACCTGACTGCTATCTCGGAGCCTCTACAATTGGATTCATCCTTTAAAAACTCGCCTGTTTGAAAGCAAAGGGGAGAATTGCAATCAGCTACTTTGGGCACTGAAGTTCACCCAGAAATTCTCAGCTCCTATGTCCAAGAGCATGAGAGCCCACACTGGGAATGCTGGCAGCATCTAACTCTAGTAAGGGATTGTCCACCGTGCCCCTACAGAAGTATTCTTGTTGCTAAACACATCAACTCTTACTTCAAATGTAGAAGGGCAAAAATCCATCCATAAATACCAGAAAGACACTTAAAATCATGCAATCCTGGAATCAACGAGGTTGGAAAAGACCTTTTAGATGACAGAGTCCAAGTGAACGTGGTAGGTTTTAAGCAATGTTCTACTAAGTACATATGTGGGGAGACCCACATGGTGGTTATGTACAAATAGAGACACATCTCAAGGAGATGAAGAGGTGAAGGACAGGGAATTGTGACGTTACCTTCTCATAGTTTGTGAACCCTCCCATGACCGCTGGATCCACAATGCCATTCAGCAGCATGGACAGAGGGTTGATGGGAAGATTTGGATCATTTAAGTGCTGTTGAACCATATTATTGATCTTATCATTTGTGAGCTGCATGGTTTCTATTGCGTTTTCCAGGGGACTGATTTCAACCTAAAATAAGAACAAAAGGATGTTACAATCAAGAAGCAGGTTTTTGACCTACTACAGGAGTGGCTGGCCACCAAAGCACCACAATTAGAAGGATAGCAGGGGTTTCAGAGCCAAAGATATTTTAACCAATAATTAACAGAAAGGGTCATTTCAGGCATTGAGATACTTGGGATCTGATCTGATAATATGAGTGGAGATAAGTTAAATGCATTTCACTGCTGTAGGACAGATTACACCTCAGCACAACAGCACAACGTTTAGAAAGGCTCTGAACAGAACCACGTGAGGTTTTGGGAGGATTACAGAGAACACCAAAGATTACAAGTCAATGTGTTTTAGCAGCGCAAAGAAGATGCAGCTTAACATAGGAAAAGAAATGATAACTTAATGTGGATTTTCTGATGGAAAATGTAATCCTAAGCAGCTCAAAAATCAAGCTGATAATTTTGCTGTGATTATTTTGGTGTATTTCCAAGGAAATGAAGTTTAATATTTTGAAGAGATGACTTCTAAGCCAGCTGCTGTGCTTTTCCCATGAGGTCACATTTTATTCAACTGAACATTGATACCTGAAGGAAGAAATATTCTTTCTCACATAGCCTGATGAAGGCAGCTCCTCAGATGTCTTCATGAGGTAAATTAGGTTTTGTACTGTGTGCAATTTGCTTTGTTTTAATTGACTGATCATAGAATCACAGAATCCCATCCTGGTTTGGGTTGGAAAGGACCTCAAAGCTCATCCAGCTCCAACCCCTGCCACAGGCAGGGACCCCTTCCACTGGAGCAGCTTGCTCCAAGCCCCTGTGTCCAACCTGGCCTTGAGCACTGCCAGGGATGGGGCAGCCACAGCTTCTCTGGGCACCCTGTGCCAGCGCCCCAGCACCCTCACAGGGAAGAGCTTCTGCCTAAGAGCTCAGCTCAGTCTCCCCTCGGGCAGGTTCAAGCCATTCCCCTTGGCCTGTCCCTACAGGCCCTTGTAAAATCTCCAGCTATCACCATGTCCTTCAGAATGATGTGTTGGAAAACCAGTATTAAAAGATTTAAATATTGCTGAAATATGTCCCTTTAGTGTATGGGATGAAAATTACCACCTTGCAGCATCCTGGGGCACAGACAGTCCTCACTGGAAGACACAGCTTATTTACATTGAAGAAATGATGTGGTAGGAATAGAGAAGGAAGGTTAATTGAGGCCTATGAGGAAAATGCAAGTGTATATTTGATTACAGCCTAATTTACATAAATGCTACATAAACAAAGCAGCACTTCTACCTGGCTATCAGTTGCTTACCATGTTCCTGAGAACCACTTATAATCAAATCTCTTTAGTTACTCTTACACCTGCCATCTGATTACATCAAGGATGCTTTAATTAGCATTTTTAGCACTGTGCCTGGTGAATTATTGTGGAAGGCACGTTAAGGAGCACGATGGTTCTGCAGTGGCTGTGGAGCAGAGCGGGCTCAGATGGACAGATGAGCACTGCCCTTCAAATCTGGATGGGCTGCGGGTGCAATCTGGCCTCTGGGAAGCAAGACCACATTCACCATCTGATTCAGGGCGAACTGTAGTGAGCATCACCTGCTAAATTTAGGATTCTGTCATTTGTATTAATGGGCTTCTAACTATGCAATAATTTGTTGATGAACCATTGCTTTTAAAGCTCTTGAATATCTACAGAAATTAGCACTCATTGAGCTGACTTTTCTGACTTCTCTGTATCAGCAATCATGGCTTTCTTTCTCATTCTCCTTTCTTTTACTACTCTTCTCATCCTCCCTCTAATCTTTTTAAAAGCAGATGGAGAATTGCAGTTCCCATCCTCCTACTATAAACTGTGCTTTGGAACTTACTGACAGCTATTAAAAATATCTACATTTGTGAATTATGAGTCTTCCAAGTAGCTTGCTAACTCTGGGCACTACACCATCTATTCAGGGCAAACACAAACTGCATACTCCTGATCCAATAGCAACACTAAAAAGCTAAGCATCAAAGCAAACCAGAGATTAGCATTTTTGCCTTTTAAAACCAAATGCAATTCCAAATCCAGTTTCTAATTCACCGCCTGGCCTCAGCAAATGTTTACCCTACAACTACTTGTGTCCAGCTAAAACAAAGCAGATAGAGAATAATGAATGTGCACAACACATTCCTCGCAGATAACGAACAGATTGAAAAGGTTTAGGTAAAAGGAATCAGAAGGAGTTTTAAAAGCAAATAGATTAAAGGCAATTATGCATATTCCTCTATGAGTTAGGTAGCATAATACACTGCATTTATCAAACTACTCAATTTTCTCTCAGCACTGGTTTCCTATGATCTCACCTCTTCCTTTAAAGATATTCTAGCTCCATCAATAAAATATGAAATGTGCAACGCTACTTTAACTCACAGTGTTTAGTGAAACATCAATACTATCTGTATCCATAGGCAGAATTTAGCCTTACAGGAATGTAAACCCCATGAGCATGCTTCCAGCTGACAGGAATGTTGAAGAAAGCCATCCTGATTTTGGAGTAACTATGCCAGAGCTAGGTCAAAAGTTGCCCCTTGCCATCTTCCCACCTATTATTAAGCTCCATTCTGGTATCATTTTTCAGCGACGTGACTAAAATAATCCTTACTTTCAAAGAGCTCATAGAAAGTCCTCTCCAAGGATTTATACCCATTTCGATGACAAGTGTAGTGCCAAAGGTGTGCGTGTACAAATTGCCTGCACAAAGCAGCCTGCCAGCCTGTGCTCTTAATTCATAAGGAAAAGAGACTTTCATCAGCCTTCACAAACACCACTTTTTGCAGTCATGAAGATAAACACAATCTTCCCTATCAGGATTATATTGAACTTACAAAGTTCATTAAAAATTCAATGTGTTTTATTCAGCTGCCTATTACTGTCAAACCCCACATTCATATTCTGTTACTATAGATACCATAGTAATTTCCCGCATTACTTCTGTTCATCTAAATACAACTGTCCAACATAACCTCAATGGAGCAAAGAAAAAGGTTTTAATTAATCATATGCAAATTGTTCTTTTCCTTTAAAAATAAGCCTCACAAGAGAGGTTTAAACACTGCAGTAACAATGTTTTTATTGCTACTTAAAAATTACAGCTGCGTAAGAATAACTTAATCTTAAAGGCGTTTAACGGATATTTCTTATCTAAACAGTCTAAATGGCAGATCAGAAATGCCTAGTTTGGAGCTGCTCTGTGGGGTTGCGAGGGTGCATTTGGGCTAACTATGGAAAGGAAACAACAACAGCCTTCCATCACAAGTGGTAAGTAGAGAAGAAACGCAGACACGTAGAATACATTCGATTTATGGTCTGCTTTGAACATTACAATCAAAGCATCCAAATCCTCGTTTCCAAAATTCAGACCAGTTTCACCTTGATGTAGCAGAGCTCCCCTATGACACCTCAGGTCCCTCTTCATTTTAGGCACACAGCTCACACCACAGGCTGTAATGGCTGTAACCTGCTGAAAGCCAGGAGTACTTCAAGCACTTGATCAGACCTTGACCTAAAGGCCTGGAAGAGTCAGCTCACATTTGCTCCTCTCAGGAGTGGAAAAGCATCCCTTGAGTCACCCCCAGTCAATAATCAGCATCCTCAGCAAGCAAGTTCCCCTTGTCTTCAGATGCCAGATACAGTCCCATTGACAGCTTGTTCACAGAACTGAAGCACAGCGTACAGAAATGTACCAGCTCCCTGGCTGTGTAAGAGCCTCATTCTTTTATGCAATCTCAATAAAGACAAATTGATCTTACCATGAAAACGGATTTGACTTCAAACCACCTCAGAATCCCTGGTAATTTGTAAGCAGTCACGTAGATGGTTCTCTCAATCCACATATTCTGCAAGTATAACACAAACATCACATTGTCAGATTGACAGCTTTTATCATAAGCAAAGCTTTAAAGCATCCTAATCAGGAAAAGGATCCACAACACGACAAACACTGAAGCCAGGGGGATGTTTCAAACAGTATGTGCCTGGGGAGATGATGGAGTGACTGCCACAGATTTATATCTGACACATGGCTTAACAGAGAAGAACTGCTCTCTTACCCAAGGAGAACACTATCTAAAAGGTCCAGTGGTTTTACTTGGACTGTCATTTTTCCCATGAGAGCTTTTACTCCACACATCATATTAATATGGAGAATGCTTCCTCCCCAGGAAGGCAGAGGAGCCAAGATGGGCTCCCAGGGGAGCCTGGGCCATCCCCATCCTTGGAGGTTTCAAGTCCTGCTCTGAGCAGCTCTGACCCCAGAGCTGATCCTGCCTGACGCAGAGGCTGGACCTGAGATCCCATCTTGACCACATTTGTGATTCTGTGATTCCATCGGAGCTGTAAACTGCAACAGCTTCCTTGTAACATCTCATTATTAGTTTGAATTTAAGGATATGCGATTGAACATGTCTTCCTTGACACATATCAAAGCTATCTCTTGATTCTAGACTTTGTTAGAACTGGCAGATGTTGGTAGCTCATCTTACTTATTATGAGGCTTTCTGTAAAATAGAATTGATTATGCCATTCTCTATTAACAGAAAAAATGATTTCAAAGTGATTTAGATAAAACCACATTTTCTGTCTACACTCAAAACATATTGGAAACTGTCACACTCCAGTCTAGCATTATGCTTTTGGAAAACAAGGGTCTCCTACCTCCTTAGCTAAACCCACCTAGATTAGCAAATCAGTCATTTTCGATATGACTGCCACCAAGAGTAGCTACAGATGCTAAAGGAATCATAGAATCTGGAATGGTTCGGGTTGGAAGGGACCTTAAAGCTCATCCAGTTCCAACCCCCTTCCTTCCACCAGAGCAGCTTGCTCCGAGCCCCATCCAACCTATAGGAAACCAAATACTCAGCATTTAGTGGCACACTGATTGGATTAGAGCCTGCTACTACACAGAAGCCCAAGTTCCTTGCTCAAGAAATATGCACTGATTTCTAACTTTAATTACTACTACCCTACTACTTTACTACTAACTGCACCCACTAGAACCCCTGTGAATAAAATGGTGTCTATAAAAACCAAAAAGGCAATCAACTTGATGCAACCTGCTGCAAACGTTTTGATGGATACAAGCTGTGCTCAAAGGGAGTTTTATTGACCATTACATGAAACATATGGTTTAGTTAACAAATAAAAGTATTCCCGCAAAAAGACTTTTAGATGCCTGACTGGAATCTTCATGGCAAGATATGTTTTGGTGAGAGATGTATCTTTTCAGGTAGAGCCATTTTATGCTTTGTTATCAAAATAGTTGGGTTTTAAGAAAGCAAAAAGAGTTTTGCCCATTATAAAACACAATGAGTTGGGTTAACTGAATTTCTATGAAAAAAAAATCACATTTAAACCTTATTTTTCAACAAACAACACATAACCAATGCTTCAAATTCTGCAAATGGAAGGCAATAAACAAGCAAACCCCCGGGTATGCTCTGATCATCTTTTTACCGCAAATTCATTGTCCGGGTTTTTCTCTCCTTTTCGAACAGGACGTGAATACTCAAACCGCTGCACTTCGTTCACCCTGTAGAAACTGAAGAAAGGGAAAAGCACAATCAAAATCAAACACTATCTGTTTAGGAATTGCTGCTAAACTCTAGTACTGGAATAGAAGCTTATGAATAAATATAAAATGCTTACGGGATCACTGCTTCCCAGTGGGTTGGATGGAATTGCTGCTAATATTATCTACAAGATGTCCTCACAATTACTACCCTCCTTGGCTGTGTGCAGAGGGACATTTTACAGAGGCATGTAGGACAGGACAGAGGGGAGACTGAGCTGAGCTCTTAGGCAGAAGCTCTTCCCTGTGAGGGTGCTGAGGAGCTGGCACAGGGTGCCCAGAGAAGCTGTGGCTGCCCCATCCCTGGCAGTGCTCAAGGCCAGGTTGGACACAGGGGCTTGGAGCAAGCTGCTCTAGTGGAAGGGGTCCCTGCCTGTGGCAGGGGTTGGAACTGCATAAGCTTTAAGGTCCCTTCCCACCCAAACAACTCTAGGGTTTTATGAAGAACTAGTTCTAGCTCTTCAAAGGAAACCGAAGAGGTGGAAACCCAACCCAAACTCACCTCACGATTTGTTCCGACACTGGCCTGTGAAACTTGGATGGTAAATCCAGCTTGGGCTTTACAGTAAAGCACTGAATATCTGAATTCAGGGGTTAAGAACTGAAAAGCAAATTTCAGTCATGCAGAACAGGCAGCTCAACGGGAACACGAAGGAAGAACAGAACAACAAAATCAATGTATTGCACCCATGGTGGCAGAAGCTCGACCATCTCCTGCTTGTGCTGGCCACAAATCCTCAATCTGTGTGGCCACAGGAGCTGCTGCACAGCCAAAGGATACACTGGCCAGAGGAGTTTTTAATGTCATCGCCCGGGGGAGACGTTGTCTTCATTTTCTCTGCGTTTGGAAACTGAGTCAATAACCGTGCTTCGAAGTCCTCGCGGCGTTCGTACTCCTTCCCCCGGTAAATGAAGACTTTGTTCTGGAAGCAAATTGAAAGGCATAATCAAAGAGATGGAGCATCTCTCCTGTGAGGAAAAGCTGAGAGGGTTGGGCTTGTTCAGCCTGGAGAAGACTTCAGGGAAACCTTATTGTGACCTTTCAGTTCTAAAACGTGGCCTATAAGAAAGATGGGGAGAGACTCTTTAGCAGGGCCTGTTGCAATAGGACAACGGGTGATGGTTTTAAACTGAAAGAGGGAGATTCAGGCTGGACCTGAAGAAGAAATATTTTCAATGAGGGTGGTAAAACACTGGCACAGGTAGCCTGAAGAGGTGGTGGGTGCTCCATCCCTGAAGACACTCAAGGCCAGGCTAGATGTGGTTCTGTGTAACCTGATCTAGTTGAAGATGTCCCTGCTCATTGCATGGGGTTGGACTGGATGAGCTTTAAAGGTCCCTTCCAACACAAACTATTCTATGATTCTCTGATCTTAATACCACCATCCTCAGTAATGAACTGGGATCTTCAAATCATTGACTTCAATGCTGTTAAGTGAGAAATGTTACATTCCTCACACTGTGATATAATCAATAGAGTACAAATATTTCCTGCCAATTCAATAAAGCACAAATGGATTTCCCTACCTCCAGTTCAGTACTGAGATCATGAAGCATGTGCTTACCTTTAGACATATGGACAAACCAGACTAAATTTAACAGGATCCAAATACATGATTACAAGAATGTATATAATTGGTGCCCACTGAAAATGCATTAAGACAAACTGCATCAAGACAAAATGCATCCTCTAATTATAGAGGAACTACAGAGGGACAAACCCAAGATGTTCCTCTGTTGTTCCTCTCAGCCACAGCTAATGGTAGAATTGATGTAAGTAAAGAGAATTAGGCTTTTTACACACAAATGTTTATTAAAAGACAATGAAGTGAGCTAGTAAGAGTAGCAAAGAGTAGCTAGCAAAGAGAAAATGTCAATTTTAGAAGGTTCAAAGATACTGACTTCTAGAAAGACCCATACATCCTAGATTTTATAGTAGTCTGTTCAATTTTTGTCATTGTACATCTGTCTGCATAACTTTTAAATTAAGTATATTGTATTTCTGAGTATTGATTTCTTCTTTTAACAATAAAGAAAATGAAGAAATATTTTATACAGTCCATTTATACACTGAACAAGAACATAACGTTCCAAGGAAAAGTGTAAAAGGCGATTTGATTTTAACAGATCAAACATATTAAAGTAAGTTTTGACATCAACTTACATCTAAATATGCTTAACTTCATTGCTCATGTCACAGTGAACTCCTGGTGAAAAAATTATACAGCACTTAATAGAAAAAGGGTGTTATGACCGGGGTAGCAAACTGGAATAGTTTACATTTACCCAATTGGGTTTAGTTCTGCAATGGTGCCTTTTGAAACGCACAGCAGATGCAAGAATACTCACATGAAAACATGGTCGCATACAAAAGCTTCTCTACCACACTCATATATAAATATATACATGTATAACTATACTCATATACATATATATAGTTATATATATACACATACACACATAAAAAGACACACAGACCCCTGTCAGGCAAACACATCACCATTTCAGGTTGTTTTGGTTATTACCCTGATGGATTAGGTGGTATATTTTCATTTCTAGTGATACCCTGAAGAAGTATGAGATATGTTTGAAGAAAAACCTTTCCTAATAAAATTCAATTATCCATATTAGAAACTGGGAAGGAAAAAATAATGTGCTGTGGCTGCCCCATCCCTGGCAGTGTTCAAGGCCAGGCTGGACACAGGGGCTTGGAGCAAGCTGCTCTAGTGGAAGGTGTCCCTGCCTGTGGCAGGGGGTTAGAACCAGTTAAGCTTTAAGGCCCCTTCCAGCCCAAACCAGTCTGGGATTCTGTGAATGTTTGGTTGCATACACCTAAACCCCAACCATCAATGTTAGGTAGATTGTAAATAACCCACTGACATACAATAATGTACTTTTCCCACTACCAAGGGCAATTTCCAATGCAAGCAACCCTGCCATCAACTGGAAAAAGGTGGACACTTACCCTTATGAACGTCGGAAATCCCTGGCCGTAGTATCCAACAGCAAAATAGTCTGGCTTTGGTCTTATCACTTTCACAATGTTTTCATAGAACTGGGCTTGCTTTCTCTGCAAAAGAAATGGGAGGAATTTTAACAACCTAAACTTGTAGGAGATTCGTCATACTTAAGATCTAGATCTCTTCTATGGGCATCTCTAGCTTAAAGGTGGACATGTTTCATCTCCCCCTTTTTCTTCACCTTTCTGTCAGATACATGCTAACATTTTGATGTATTAGACTCTGTAGCCATTACTTTTATCCCCATCTTGCTGAACATCACTGGTCCATATCCAATATCTCCATTTTGATGAAGGTCAAGAATCTGCAAGGCAGCCAGAACTGATGGCGACACTGCTGACGCCGAAACCCTGGAACGATGAAGCACAAACTACAGCAGCCAGCTCATGTCGACGGTGCCAACTCCTCATTTTTCTACTACTTCTTTTCCATATTTACAAGTATTTATTTGCATATGGAAAGCACACAGCTGAGAACTGCAGCAAAATGTATATTTTGGAAGAAATCCATGTCGGACGCCTTCTGGTTTTGAAGCAGAATCTTTCTTTATCTCAAATGATGAAATAATATCAAATGTGCAGCTTCAGACGATCCGTTCATTAACTTATTTTTAGCCTATTACTTGCTGTAAGCGAATGAATCCTGATTTGGGCGGAGGATTATTACTGCTCCCATACGAGAGATAACAGTAAATGGCAAGAAGACTACAAAGACCCAGCTCTGCCGTATATTTCTTACCTGTTGTAAAACTGTTTTGTTATTTGTGAATTGTCTTAGAGTCTAATAGTTAATACTGCTTGAATAAAAGACACAACAGGGAGAACAGAAAGAAACAAAAACATTTAGATTGTATTATGGGGGAGGAAGAAAAGAAGAACTAGCAAGCTAATGCCCTGCAGCAGCAGCAACAAGAAAACCCAATGGGTAGGTGAGACCTGACTACTGTGGAAGTCTGAATTATGATCTTAGCCTTAGTAGGGATCAATGCCCAGTGCATGCTGGTACTAATTTTTGTGGCATCTCTCTCAATTTCTCTTGTCTGATAAATAAAGAACAGATAAACTCAGTTGTGAGAATTGGAGGTTCTGGGTCTATCCTATTAGAAGTGGGCAAAACTCCATTTTCATATGCAGAAGAACTGTATGTGGCTCCACTGCCTGGAAGTATGTCACTTAATGTAAAGCATGACATATTTACTGTTCAAGACAATGGTGAAAAATACATAACTCAGTATTATTGGCCATCAGCTACAATGTATGAAGTGCAAATTCAGACTTCTCCACAATGGGTATAGTATGGTTAAGCCGAGTGGTTGCCTCTGTGACAGAGCCGTTCATGTTCCCATGTGCAAGCATAAAGGAGATGGAAAATGAAAAATGAGAGACTTGGAAAGTAGCTATCTACTGGTGAATAATCATATCTGACACATGAGAATCATTTCTAGCTCAGGAAGAATCTCTACCTTTTATAGTGAAATGAAGAATACTGTCTATTGAATGCAGCCCTGCGGGCAGCAGGCCAAGGAAGACTCTTCTGCACACTGCAGGACCTCCAGGTATACATCCCTTTTATCACTTGCAGTGACATGACACCAGGCTCCAGATTTGTAAGGTAAATCAATATAATCAGTCTGTCACTAAAACCAGTTAAGATGCCACAAAAGGAGGATATCAAGAAGGGATATAAATTCAGCTCGAGAGAGCTGGAGGACAAAACCATGGATAAAAGAAAAGGAAGACCATGTAAAAGAGTGAAGAAACCATATCATTGAGAGGAGTGGTGTTTACCTTTACTCTTTCCTCCCCAAGAAGGGAGATTCTGGGGAGATAGGGATGGAGATGCTTCTGAGATGACTGTTGGCCATCCTCAAACTGAGCACTGGTGTCAGTGGAGGAAGAGGGTGCAATGACCTGGGCTGGGTTTGGCTGAGGTAGAGTTAATTTTCTTCAAGTAGCTGGTATGGGGCTGTGCATTTGTGCTGGAAACAGCACTGATCACACAGGGGAGTTTTAGTATCAATGAGCAGTGCTTGCACAGAGTCAAGGTATTCATTAGGGACTGTAGTGACAGGACAACGGGCAATGGGTTAAAACTTAAACAAGGGAAATTTAGATTGGATATAAGGAGGAAGTTCTTTCCTGTGAGGGTGGTGAGGCACTGGAATGGGTTGCCCAGGGAGGTTGTGAATGCTCCATCCCTGGCAGTGTTCAAGACCAGGTTGAACAGACCCTTGGGTGCCATGGTTTAGTATGAGGTGTTCCTGCCCATGGCAGGGGGGTTGGAACTGGATGATCTTAAGGTCCTTTCCAACCCTCACTATTCTATGAGTCTATGATTCTAAGGTCTTTTATGCTCCTCACCCCATCAGTGAGCAGGCTGGGGGTACATGAGGAGTTATGGGGGACACAGCCAGGACAACTGGTCCCAATTGACCAAAGGGATATTCAAGACTGTATGGAGTCATGATCAGTGTCTACAGATGGGGGAAGAAGAAGAAAGGGGAGATGCTGGGAGTGATGGAGTTTGTCTTCCCAAGTCACCAATGTGTGTGATGGAGGCTGGGGAGTGCAAAGGTAAAATGTGTCAAAACCCTGAAAGTCAACACTTTTCATTTAGGACTGGAATCATGCCCCAGCTCCTGTGAAAACAGTTGAGAAGTTTGGTGGGACAGTGACAGCTGCCATTTATCTCTTTGGAAAAGAGCAGGAGATAAAAAATGGTGCAGGCATAATGAATGGATAACGTCAGGGCAAAAATAACTGACTCTAGACATGAATGCCTGGGGATTATTCATACCTAAAAAAAGAAACGTGAATGTGGCAAGACACTTGAGAGAGAATGGGGATTTTTTCATGTTCCCATTTATATTTAAATTCCAAATTTCCTTTTATACCCCAAATCAATCAGCTTAACATTACTGAAATCTTTTTCTTTCAGCTAAAAGAACAGAAATCCACTCTTTTTTGGCCCTCCAGTGGTAGCCAGTTAATCAACATCAGTCCAGCAGAGCCAACGTGGGCATCTATTTCTGCATCTTTCTGTCATAAAAGAGATTTTCAGTATGATTTTAAAAGCTTAGAAATCGGATCCTAAAAGGAATTGTTGCAGTGACTGTGTCATTAAAAACCTACCAGGAGTTCACTGAGTTGTTCATAATCAAACATTTCATTTTCATACTGTTCCGCAAGTTCTTTCCCCAAGGCAATGGCCTCTTCCCACATCTGTGGAAAAAAATGTCACGACACAAGAAGAAAACAGAATTACACACCTTGGTGAAGCAGCAACACTGGAATAAAATGAATGTTAATAAACACAACAAAATGCTTTGGGTCGCATGCTGAAAACAGTGTGCATCTGATGTGCTCATAGCCATGGCAGCAATAGACATGTCTCTGTTTCATAGAATCACAATTGTTTAGGTTGGAAAGGACCTTTAAGATCATCGAGTCCAACTGCTAGACTATCAGTGCCAAGTCCACCACTAACCCATGCTCCTGTGTCACATCTACTCATCTTTTAAACACCTCCATGGATGGTGACTCCAGCCCTGCCCTGGGCAGCCTGTTCCAATGCCTGAGCACCCTCTGGGGAAGGATTTGCTCCTCATCTCCACCCAAGCTTCTCCTGATGCAGCTTGAGGCCATTTCTTCTTGTCTCATCCCTTGTTAATTGGGAAAAAGAGACAGACCCCCACCTTGCTATGACCTCATTTTAAGTAGTTGTAGGGAGTGATAACATCTCTCCTCAGCCTCCTTTTCTCCAGACTGAACCCCCCAGGTCCCTCAGCCATTCCCCATCACACTTGTCCTCCAGGCCCTGCACCAGCTCCATTGCCCTTCTCTGGCCCCGCTCCAGCACCTCAAAGTCTCTCTTGTAGTGAGGGGCCCAGAGCTGAACACAGGATTCGAGGTGTGGCTTCATCAGTGCCCAGCACAGGGGAACAATTCCTGCCCTGATATAGACCAGGATGCCACTGGCCTTCTTGGCTGCCTCCACACAAGCTACTCATGTTCACCACTTGTGACCAGCCACCAACTGGGTTTAACTCCATTCACCACCACTCTTTGGGCTCACGTTAGTTAAGCAGGACCTGCCTTTCATAAACCCATGCTGACTAGGCCTGACCATTCCGTTGTCCTGTGTGTGACATGTGATGGCACTGAAGATGATCTGCTCCATAACCTGCTCTGGCAAGGAATGCAAATTGACTTGATACAAATCAAGTAAAATGATCAAATTGCTTTAGAAATAAAATGATTCCTGTTAACCTCAACTAGATGTCCAATAATGTATAAACACAGCCTGCTCACAAAGAAACCCAGAATCTGCTACTTTGGATAAATGCTGTTGATTGATTACAGTTCATAACCAACCCTCTCTAATATCTATAGTCCATATTACACAGGACAGGCAATTTGCAGATACTGCTTTTCACAACTATTCATTGTATTTGCATTGGTTCTTTTTCCCCTCTTGTTCCTCAACCATGAAATTCAGCAGCCGTCTCAACTGACCCAAAGAAATCTAACAATGTCCTTCAGCTCTTCAGAAGCCAAAACTCTTAATGAGGAGCAGCAAGAATGTTTTAAATATGTATGTTTCATTTTTGTCTTCTCTAAATGCAAAGAACGGCTCAAAAGCAAAGAGATGCTTCAGTTAGCACACCAGGCTACCTACCATCAAACCTGGTGACCTGCCTCTGCTGCTGACATTTGGTTGGCACTGCTGACTTCACTTTATCAAAAGAATGAGATTTGGAATGAGTTATAAATCTATGTGGCTTGTATTACCCTTCATCTTCAATTTAAATCCTCTGTCCACACCACCTAATTCTCCTCTCAGCACCGTGCCACATGGTCCTTGCCCTGGTGAAATACCGAGATGGCTGCAGCTACAAAGAGCAATTGGATGCTCTTTGTAGAGGAGGGCTGAGGAAAAGGGATGAACACAATTCCCCATCCCTCCCCTGAAGACATCCACCTTTGGGAATGAAGAGTTAGTGATGAAGCACCACAGCTTTCCAAGGTGGTAGGAGACGGATGCTGCGGAGAGAGAGGGGGAACAGCACCCCTGGAGAAACCTTCATGCACACAACTGATTCCTGCATGCATCCCATATGGATCCCATAATCCATAAAAGCACCATGAAAATAAAGAGGTATTTTTTCCCAAGACCCCATGAAAGCCAAAATCCTCCATCAAACAACACAAATGAACCCCACCACCACTCAAAGCCCAACATCAATGTTGGGTGAGTTTTGTCTTTCGATCTGCGGGTTGAAATCACATTTCTTAGTGTATCAGTGAAACATGGATAACAATAAGACTTTTAGGAAAACTCCTAGTTCTAGATGCTGATCTAAAACTAGAAGTAAAACCTTAAGGGTTCATATGACTGTCAGTAAGACCGAAACTGCTGCAAGCACTGGCTGAGGAGTCAGGCAGGGCACAGCTACCTGTGATTTAGAGGCACAAACACAAGGCTGGGACCTAGAATCTCATTCTTTCTTTCCTTAGGAGTTAGCAATTTGGAGCCCAGCCAGGCTGAATCCTCAGCAAGTCTTCATGTCAATGCCACAGAAACAAGATGCAGCTTGGGTCCCACTGGTTTGCTCTCCATCCCTGCTCCTCCCTGGAAACAAGGTGCCAGTTTTCACGTGGACGGTACCCATCCCTCAAAGCAAAGGATGGAATGAAAGAATGTCCTGTCAGACTGAGAGGGAAGGGATGGAAAGGAGCAACGTGAAGAGGCAGTGAGCTGCTGATGGTGGAGAAGATGAGGAGCTGCAAAACGAAGAATAGTTATAAGAGATTGCAGGGAGAAAGGAGGAGAGATTTATGCCCTTCAAGTAAGGGGAAAATATGGGCCACAAAACTACCCTGGGATGGCTGAGCAAGGGAAAAGCAGCTTTTGAGTCCTAAAGAAAACAAATAGGCAGATGCTTGGGCAAACAGAAACTGAGCAATGACCTAATTTAAGACAGAAAGGTGATGATGCCCACAAGGGGTAGAGGCTGGTACCTCCATTAACTTTCCTTATGGCTCCATGTGATATTCGACCCCTTCTCTTGGTTTTACTACGACAAGGAGCATAATACCATTTTTCTTGGGTGGAGGACTGGAATGAGCAGGAGCTACCTCATGCTTGTTATGAAGATGAAAAAAGCATCACAACAACTAATCCAGTCACTGTAATGAGGGATCATGTCTGCAGGAAAGCACGAGGCAGAATGTACACTCTGGATGCTTTTATCTCTATTATGGATCTAATCTAGAATGATGATACAGAGCATGTTGTTATCTCTAAACAAAAATTAACAGGACTTTAATAGTGAAGGCACAGTTGCAGAGAATGAAGTATATTTTCACATACAAGGCTGAGTTAATTTTGACTCAGAGGAGTAATACTAGACCAATTTATAGAACCTAAACTAATATTGAGCTGTTTGGTAAGCCAGCAAGTGAAACCCTTCAAAATCATTTAACCTTTCTTCATTTTGACTGCCATTTTCTGTTTAACTTCAGCCATCCATAACTTCTGCACATTTTCATTTTAAAGAAAATGGCATTACCATAGTTTTCCCTGTCCTGGTTCTCTGCTTGCGTGTTCCACATTTAACCAGTCCCTCTCCAAACCCAAAGCAATTCTACTCTCTTTTCTGCTGTGAAAACATTTGTAGATGATCTCAGGCAAACAGCTTTGGAGCTGCATGAGACTGGGAATAAGTGGAAGTCTAAATAACTTGAGATTTGCATTGACAGTGTATGCACACTCATTCCGTTCTTGCACTGAATCCTGGATGAGCATCGATACTGTGACCTGTTTCCAAAGCACATCTGGCAACTCAAAGCATGACCTCAATGCTAAGACATTTACCACTAATTGCACCTCATCATCAAGAAGTAAGGGGTTCTGGGTTAGCAATGGGAGAGAGGAGGGGAGGAGAGGAGCTCTCCATGTCACCGTGGCTTTGCAGCTCATGAGTCACATCACTGTAAGCCCACCCCAGATTGCAATGCCCTGGAGCAACGTGCTCTAGTGGAAGGTGTTCCTGCTTATGGCAGGGAGTTGGAACTGGATGAGCTTTAAGGTCTCCCCCAACACAAACGAGTTTGGGATTCTATGATTCTAAAATCAGACCTCTGCAGTGTGCCCATTAATGCCGACAAAGCATTGTCACCAATTAAATGATGAGTTTAGCAGAAGTAAAACTTGGTTTTGACTATTCTTCCTTTCCCAGCCTTTCAGTCAAGACTGTAAGCACATCAGAGTAGAGGCCGAGTTTCCGCTGCACTTCTGCCATCCTGAACAAACCCTTTAGACGTTACTGAATATTAATATTATGAATAAAATATGAATTTTATAAATGTTTCAGAGACTAAAAAAATGAAGCCTCAAATTAAGTATGATCTAGATTTAGCTCATGTACAATATACATGCAGTAATGACACTATCCTAGCATATTTCCTAGTACCCACTCCCTTAAGTGGCGATCATAGAGTCCTAGAATGGTTTGTGTTGGAAAGGACCTTAAAAGTCATCCAGTTCCAATCCCTGCCAGGGGCAGGGACACCCCACACTAAACCCTGTCACCCAAGGCTCCATCCAACCTGGCCTTGAACACTACCAGGGATGGAGCATTCACAACTTCCCTGGGCAAATATCACATGCCCTCAACTCCAGAGCTGCCTTATCCACTCTGGTGTTTGTGCAGCTGGACCACACCACCTGCAGCATCCCCTAAAACTCAGCCAAAGCTGGTTATTTCCCCAACATCATAAGAGCAGCAGGACCCGTGTGTTTAAAATCCTCTGCACAACCCTCTGAAAAATCTCTCTGTTTACTACAGAGCCAATTTATTCAGGTGAGGACAGCACGGCTGTGGCAAAGGATCCTGATAAATGAAATCTATATTCTTGAAGGTCAATAACTCCCAATCTGCTCCCTTGCAGATTTGCTGCCTTGGAAGGTTTCCCAGGTTTGCCCAGGACATGGCAGGTCTTCTGGAGGAATGAGCCGTACAGGGAGCTACTACACAGGATTTGTACCATGTACAACTCATTAATGCAAGAAACAATTTATCTGGAGAGTGCACCAGAGAGAGAGGCTGGCAACGGGGAAGGAAAACGCTTCTTCTATACTGAAGGCATAAGAAAAATGTGTGTAGCCTAAATTCAGTTGTGTAGACACACAAATTGTTATGGGAAAGACTTTTGAGCATGCAGAAGGAGGTGTTTTTAGGGAAAACCTAGCAATTTAATTCAGTTTTGAAGCTGGATTGCTTGTTGCCCAGAAAGAACTGCAGCATCCAATTTAGGTTTTGAGGTTCCTTAATAGTAGCAGAGGAGGATCTTAGGTTATATCTTAGCTCCCGCTGAGTTAATGGTCAGTAAAAATGACATAGTCTTGGATAAGAATATTACCATGCAATATCCTGATGTCTGAGGGACATTCCAAGCTGTTTGAATTTCAGATAGCATTAATTAGCCATCAGGTGAGCTTAATACTTGAAGTCAAATATTAAAACACAGTATTTCTCTATTGACAGGATGGCATTCAAGATGTGGGAGATACAGCCATGGTTGGAAAAACCTTTAAACCAACTCGCTATCCTCACTTGGAATGCAGTCAAACAGCGCATCTTTCCTCTCTGAGAAATCTCTGTCCTTCACAGCTCTCAGGACAGGCTCACAATCTGACATGGGATTTGAGTTGGCCGTGAGCCTTGCACTGATTTTTGGCAGACAGGTGAATTTCACCACTCTCCAGTTAGATGGAAAAAAAAAAGCCTTTTGATGCCATCCCATGAGCTGGAAAAAAAAGATAGTTTAAGCCAAAAGCATGGCATTTACTGTGGAGTTACAAATATTTTGTGTTTGTGGCTCAGTAAAGCAGTAAAAGCTTCTTTTTTTGAGGGTGGGAAGAAGGAAGGAGGAGCAGAAATAAATGATCAGTGTGCATTTATCTACATTTTCAGCTTATGAAAGAGCAGTGGAAGACATGGAGTGATTTACAGACTGCAGCATCCCACTGGCAAATAGGAAAAACGTTGCTGTTCCTACATTGTATTGTGTAGGGATAAGAATGCTGCTGCTTCTTTACTGCTCTAGAGATCACACAAACCTGTTCTAAAACTAATACCCTATCTCTGTCAATGACACTGAGTATTTCTTGGCTTCAGCATTTCATTAGCATTGACCAACATCAAAATTTCACTCCCATTCCTCATCACTTTATTACCGCCATTTGTTCTCCTTATTGTCCTGAGATACCCAAACCTACCAATTTCCAGGAAAATCCCTGGATTAAGGGCTTTTGAAAACCACAAAGCCTCGGCAGAACACAGGAGGAGCAAACACTTCAGAGCAGTTCAAAGGACAGGTTAGACTGCCATGATGAGTGTGAGGATAAGGCTCCTAAGGTGTCGTGGTTTACATTCCGTCAGCCACGCAGTCTCTCTCTCACTCCCTGCCCCTTCCTCCCCCCGCTCCCAGAGGGATGGGGAGAAGAAGCAAAAGAATGTAACTCCCATGGGTTGAGATAAGAGCAGTCAGTAACTAAGGTATAACACAAACCACTGCTGCTGCCACCAATGATAATAATGATAAGGGAAATAACAAGGGAAGAGAATACAACTGCTCACCACCCGCTGACTGATACCCAGCCCGACAGAGCAGTGATCTCACCCTTCTGGGTAACTGCCCTCAGTTTATATACTGGGCATGACGTGCTGTGGTATGGAATACCTCTTTGGTCAGTTTGGGTCAGGTGTCCTGTCTCTGCTTCCTCCCGGCTTCCCCTCCTCCCTGGCAGAGCATGAGGCTCACAAAGTCCTTGGTCAGGCTGAACATTACTGAGCAGTAACTAAAACCATCGGTGTTATCAGTGCTGTTCCCAGGCTGAAAGTCAAAACCACAGCACTGTAGCAACCACTAAGAAGGAGAAAAGTGACTGCTACTGCTGAACCCAGGACATAAGGGCAAAAGCCAAGAGATGGAGATGAGACTGGAAAGTGCAATGCAGTGAGGAATGGTAGAGAGAAACCTATGAGTATAGCAGGAAAACTTGGAAGTAACGTTTCATTTTGGAAACAAGGAGCTTAGAGGAGTATTGAAAAGTATGGCTAATAAGGAATCAACTCCGTAAAGTAGAACAACAAAATGCAGGAGTTGATTCTGACAATTTACTGAAGGTGAAAGGTGCACTTCAGCTTTACAGAAGACTGGTTCAAGGACAAGAAGTCAAATGTAAGTAAAGTAACAAGCTTCCAAAGATTAATGTATTGAAAAATTGAAATAAAAATGAGGAATCTTACATGCAACTGAAGCTACAAATAACAGGGACATTCATGGTGAAAATAGTAATTTATTCTCAGCCAAAATGAGAAGCCCAAACTCCAACTTTCAGTGCAAGCCCACATTCTATTATTAAATTACAAATTTCTCAAGCACTTCTGGTCTACTCCATTTCAGTTGGCGTATGAAGGATTATATCCTCTAAATTCATCTCATCATGGATCTTAGTAATTAGGGATTAAGCCTCAGGGTTGGTCTTCAGTTGAAAGCGCACCACGTGTTCTCCCTGAGGAACTGCAATCAACATTGAATCCTGGAATGGTTTGAGTGGGAAGGGACCTTAAAGCTCACCCAGCTCCAACCCCTGCCATGGGCAGGGACACCTTCCACTAGAGCAGCTTGCTCCAAGCCCCTGTGTCCAACCTGGCCTGGAAGTAGCTCTACGGCTGCCCAAGATAGAGCGACCTTCTTTGACATTTCTTGTTAACTTGATGGGAAGAGAAAGTAAAGTAATGGGATCAACGCAGACTGATTCGCCAGCCAGACACAGATGGGAGATTACAGTCAAAAAAAGACGAATTGGTTGGTGTATTGATACAGTCTTCTAAAAACACACAGCAAATACTGTTTCCAATATGTTCCTCATCATGGAATGGCATCTTTATAGTAGCTGGTGGACTGCATCTGCAAACTGCACAGGTAAATAGAAGGAGTTGGTTTAACCTAGTGTCAGAACATCCCAAATGAGAGGATTAGCTTAATTCTACTGTGGAAACCTTGACTTTGAGCTTCCTGACATTTGAAAATGTATGTTAGATGCTCAGATTCTCGGTGAATATTGATTTTGGTTTTCCTTTTCATTGAACAATGCAAAAAGTTTTCACCAACTTGGAGTAGCCAGAAAATGAGAGAAGATCTGTAACTAGGAAAAGAGTGCTCTGAAAATGAATCATCTCCTCACACACACACACACACACACACACATCATGCAGGAATGATATGACTTATAAAAGGAATAGGAATGAGTAATCGCAGTGGTCCCTTCAATATCACTGTTCACCATAAATGTGTAGAATCATGAAGATTCAGTTCTATAATCTACCTATAAGGGAAAACACAGCATTTCCAGTGCTATCTGTTTTGAAAGCAGGCAGAGCCTTATTTCTAGCTGTAAAACCTGAAAGAATTAAGACTGCTTATTCAGCCTAACGTGGGTCCCTCAGGCGTGGAGGCCGTGCTGGGTAATGTGGCACGGGCTGGAAAGTGAGCAGCAGGTATTTTGCCTGCTGTTTATATAAACAGCTCATTAGCTCCATCAGCAGAAACGGGGTGGCTACAGCTTTAAGCCAGGTTGTTTTCACTACAGCTCGAAAGGATGCTGCAGCTTCTAATTTACAGCTAAAATGCATTGCCCCCAGTGCTCAGAAGAACAATTCCCACCGCCTGTATATGAGCATCATAAAAGACTAACTGGGAAGCCATAAAGATGTAAACCAACAATATAAAAACATGCGACTTCTGGCTTTTTCCCTTCCAGAGAGGAATGCAACATTAAAATGTACTTTCAAATCAGTTGTGACCTCTATCGAGGTTCTCCTTTCCTGCTGTTAAAGGGTTAGTAAAAGCCTGCTGGGCAGCAGAAGCGTGCTGTGGAATCTAGTGCTACCCACTGCACAGGCATCAAGGCACCTACATGAGCCCCTGCATTTATTTAGTATCCTTTATTAACAACTTCTAAATATTCCATCGAGATAAGGTATAAAAGTTGACCTTTTAGGGGGTGTTTCTATCAAAATACTAATCTGATTCTGCTAAAAACTGACTTGGGAAACATGAGCTGGTTGGATAATGTTTGAGTTCTGCCCGAAAATGACATTTCTATTTGCAAGACATTTATGAAACAAAGATTGCTTTTGAAAACCCAAGTTTGTGTCTCTGAAATACTCTGTCAAAGAGATTTCTACTTCTCTATTTAATATTTTTGTGCATAAACTACTCATACACTGATATGTCCCTGTCTACCAGTTTAAACCCTTCACCTCTAATGATGGGTAACAACAGCACACTCCCCTTCCCACCATGCAATGCCCAATGCAGACTCATCATATGATAAAACATGCAATTGTAATTCATCTGAGAACATTTCCACCTTCTTATAACATGAACCACAGACATCCATTCTCTGAGGGAATCTTTTTGTGTACAACACGAAAAACAAGGGTAGCTGAAGGATTGCCTTAGCCGTTGTAATTGCCAGAAAACCTAAGTCCCCCAAACTACATGCATCACTTTCTTATTTTCTCCATGGCATCGTATGCACATCTATTTCCCCTTAACACAGCAGTTATAAATGTACCATTGATTTCTGTTTTCCTCTTTTTTTTAGTATCATTACTTTAAGTGCTAGCTGGTGGACTGTTTACATAAAGCACTCCAAATAACTTATAACAAGTTTAAGTCTCCCTGAAGGTCACTGGATGCAAACCACGTTTACTATTCAACTTAAAAGCAGAAAAACATATTTGGACTTTTTTCTTCCCTTTTTACCTTGCCCTTGTCAAAGTAATGGATAATTTCTTGATAGAGTTGATCTTTCAACTGTCCTTGAGTAGCAGCTTGGTATCCATCCCGCTGGGTAAGATGTGCTGCACATGCTTCTTCAGACCACTAAATCATACAAGAAAGAGGGGAAAAGGGAAAGTAAATCAAAAGTTATGAAGTACATCAGTAAAATGAGGCTAAAGAAAACACACATTGTTTAAAGAGCTGGCACCACAGTTAATGCCCTAACAAAGATTTTTTCTGCAGCTGTATACTTTGATTCCTTGGGCTCAAGGACCATGTATTTGAATGCTCTAATTGGAAGCTAATTGCATGTATCAGCTGGAGGGAAACTTCATGAGCTAGTTTCCTCTCCACAGAGAGTTTCAGGAGACCAACCTTGGCCTGCTGATGGGTACAACCTGCTGGATGCATAATGAACATTCTCAGGTTTATGCTGAGAGAAGCCACGAAGCAGATACATCAATATAAATGGAAAGGACTGCAGGACAGAAATTAAATGGCTAAAAATCACAGAGGATGTTTGGAGGCACAGAAAAGCACAACTAACTTTATACAGGTTGTCTTAGTAGCTCTTGCTCTTCAAGCAAATGCCTAATGGATGAGAAGCAAGGCACAGATATTAGATGAATTTATTCATAGACCTGATAGGACCAAACAATTCCCTGCATCTTTCTCCCCTGCACCTTTTACTCTAGTGTCCAGTAAGGAATGGATGCAATGAAAACCTCAGGACTCCAGTATTCCTATCACCATTTCTTCATTGCCCTTCTCTTCTCCCACTAATGCTCCCTATGACCTACCTGGGGGTGAAACAACACTGGAGTTTTCCCCAGACAGGACACTATCACTAAAGCCTACACTTCCATAACTATTTCCATGGGTCTAGCAGGAAATTATTACCTTATAGACTCACCAACCTCTATCAAATCAAATCATATCACAAACCATTAAATCAAATGAAACTTCTCATAGGTTGGAAAAGAGTCAGGGGCAGGAGCTCCAATAGGACTTGTTGCCTCCAGAAACTGAGTTCCAGAACATAAACTGATGACAGAACTGTTCACTTTCTTCTCTGAAAATCAAAGTTACTAAAGGAGGAGGTCTGCCTGCTCAAATAAAATGCTGTCACACTAGGAAAAGAAGAAAAGATCATGTGGAGATCAGCATCTCACAGATTTATTCAGAGTTACTGTTATATATTGAATCAGAGAATGGGTTGGGCTGGGAAAGACCTTAAGATCATCCACTTCCAACCACCTGCCATGGGCAGGCACACCTCACACTAGAACAGTTGCTCAAGGCCCTGTCTCAGATCTCAGGATCTGAGTCTCTTGCAAATCATGTGCTGCTGTTTGAATACTCGCCCCATAGTGTATCTATGTGGAAAATCCTCACCTTTCCTTTAGTAATATAACTATAGGAAAAGCCAACAAAAGAAGGATTTTCTACTTTCAGTTCTACTGCCAAAAATGATAATGTTTTCCCAATGAACTGAAATTAGGCAAGGTCACATCCTGCTCTGTTTTAACTCTCATACACTGACAGAACAAAACCTACCTGGTAAGATTACTCAAGCACAAGGGGTATTATGGGTTCAGATGACTGTGTGAATGAAGATAAGCATGAAAACTTATATCACCCAGGTTTACCTCTTATATCTTATTAAATCTCACCCAACTACTTCTTAATTTGGCCAAAATGTGTTTGGCTAAAGAGACAATTTGGACAATTTCGCACCACAAAGCTGTGTTTCTGAGAAACACAAACTTCACAGAGTCTGCAATGCAATGGCATCTTTTTCAACATCCTAAGAACCACTATTTTCTGCTAGTTTTGAACATCTTAATTTTGACTAAGTGGGATGAAAACACACTTGACTCTGCTTTCTTGTGCATGCTTCATCAGCTTGCAGTTACCTGGAGGAAGTGATGGTCGCTCTGCCTCCACAGGGAGAGCCTTCTCACACATTTAAAGGTGAAATTATGGAAAGCTCTCAGTCCTGACCTAAATGTGATCCCATTAAAATCAATGTAATGAAATATATGCCAATGACGAGTGTCATTGGAAGTCCTGTCCTCAAGGTTGGACAGAAATCTCAAGCGCTTAAAGTTATACACACATCAGTATTGATGCTCAAGGAATACTAAACTCCTCCATCCACTGGTAGTACCAGGATGTTGTTTGAGATAGATAAATGTACTTTTAGAATAAAATAATCCCAAACTATACATATTTAGAAACAAAAATCCACTTAGTTAGGAAAAACTGTGACAAATATTATCCTTACATTTGCCATCTTCTACTGATACCCATTGTAAGAAAAGAAAACTGCATTTATTTTCAGTGAATTACAGAAGTATATTAAATCAAATCACTTGGTCTCCAGAAACACTCTTTAAGAAAAAACAAAACTGGCTAAAGTCTAATTTAATGTCTCATAAAGCATACTGACTAACAAGATCAAGCCATAACAGGTAAAAGTTTGACATTTTAAGGCATGGTTCGTTCTATCACTCTTGTAGGCAACGCAGCACCTGTAGCAGGGAATGAATGCTTTATCTTGCCTAAAAGGTTCATTCATGTGAAGTGTGATGAGCAAGCACTGCACAATTTGGCAGTTCTGTTTCATGTCCCTCGTGGGAATACGTGAGATCTTTATAGCCACTGACTCAGCGAGTTACTCATTCGAACTTCTACCCACAGGCAGCCAAATGCACCAGTCTGTGTGACTGAAGGTGTCAGAGCCATCTCTTCACATCTTCACCTCTCTGACACGTCTCAGCACAGAAAAGTTCATTACCAAAGTAGTGATTGCATCCTTCCCTGTGAGGGTGCTGAGGCGCTGGCACAGGGTGCCCAGAGAAGCTGTGGCTGCCCCATCCCTGGCAGTGTTCAAGGCCAGGTTGGACACAGGGGCTTGGAGCAAGCTGCTGCAGTGGAAGGGGTCCCTGCCCGTGGCAGGGGTTGGAGCTGGAGGAGCTTTAAGGCCCCTTCCAACCCAAACACTTCCAGGATCCTATGAAGATGGGTAACGCATGCTCTGGCACAGCACACAGCTGATTAATCAGTTTAAAGTGCAGATGTTCTAAGGGTGACAATACCACTATGGGTTAGTGCTGACCTGACTTTTGAAGCTTGTGATGGATTTTGGTGTTTACCTTGAGAAGCTTTGCATGCAGAAGTAGCGTGTAGGCAGCTTCCGTATAGTTATCACACTCCTTGTGCAGGTCACACAGCTTGTACAAATACCTGCAAGTAATAAAAAACAACAGTTCTTAAATGTTACTAAATAATTTAGTCTGGAGATTACAATGGTTCAACTCTATCTCCAGCCAACTAAAAGTATGTGGGACTAGTTAAAGCTCCTATTTCTGTGTGCAGACAACCTTTAGGACCATCTGCATTTCCAATGTTGTCTTTTTCCAATGCACATAAATGACTTGTGCTGATTGATGTATCAAATGCAGATGTGCTTTGCAGGAGCTCTCATTCCAATTGTTTAGCCATGGTGACAGATATAAGTCTTTCTACTTACCTTCAATATGATCACACCTCTGGAAAGGGTTTCTCTTCATTTGGCTGTTGGGTTTTACTAGTGGCAATTCAAAACCAATCAAAACTGTTTTGAAAAGCCAATGAAAATACATAACTTTGAGATTTCTTATGTCATAACTTTGATATTTATTATGACATAACTTTGATATTTATTATGACATAACTTTGATATTTATCATGACATAACTTCCATATTTATTATGACACATTGTAAGTTTCTTAATAGAAACAGGAGATAATTTGGGTGGGGGCTTGCCAGTGAGACACAATTTATCTTTATAGGGATGCTGAACAGAGCAGCCCACCAGCTCGTAACTCCACGTTTGTCCACAGTTACCAGGCCTGCTCTTTGCTAGATTTTACTTCCTTTTTTCAGACTAATAAAGCACTAAAACAATTCAAGCAGCAGGGAACAGGTTCACAAGTGAAAATCCTTCCAACAAGGTAACAAGCACCTGAGAATGAACTGATGAATAATATTTGGATACCTAAAAGGGCACTAAAAACACAAGCTTCATCATTTTAGCACAACAATCGAGCCAATTTTAAGCCAAAGTACAAAGAAGGGACTAGGAACCCTGAGGTTTACAAAAAGCACAACAATCTATTACCAGTTTTACTTTGTGGGAAAATGGATTTTGAAAGGCTCCTAAAAGCTTTACATTTCGAACAGGCATCAGTCATACTATTATTTAATAGCCCTTTTTATCCCAAGTCACATATTTTGGACCTCACCAGGAAGCAAACTTATTTTCCTATTGAGCTTACTTTGGGTTTATTTATTGTGAGGTGTCCCTGCCCATGGCAGGGGGGTTGGAACTGGATGATCTTGAGGTCCTTTCCAACCCTACTTATTCTATAATTCTATTCTCTTCATGTGACAATAGTACTGAGGACCTCAGTGTTCATCATAATATAACTGAAGGAGAAGGGGGATAAAACATACGTCATGACTCTAAGTTCTCACTCACTGTTTTCCAGGTAAGTTTTTAATGTACCTAAGGTTCAAGGTATGGTTTTTAACCTCTTTTCCCTCAGCTGCCTGCTTAACATGAGCTAAATTTCCTCCAGTCACCCTACAGAAAGGCAAGCAGAGTTTGTCACCGATCGTGATTACAAACCTGATGTACATTTCTTCTCTCTCGATCTCCTTGTAGAAGTTCTGAAAAACAACATCATTTTGTTACAAAGCCTTTGATTTCACAGCCTGGGATGTACACAGAACATGCTCTGAATTAAAAATTCATAACTGTGGAACACCGACCTCAAAGCTGCAAAATGAAATTTGCCTCCAGTGCTAGAACACCAGTTATTTAACGCACAAAGTCGAACGCTGTGATGTTTCATGATGCACCGTATTAGGGCTTATGTCTCATTGCAAAGGTTAAGATTTGGAAGAGTTTTACTGCTAGAAATGTGCTTCTGGCATTTGCAAGTAACACATCATGAACCATTTACACTTGAAACTTTGCAATATGCATACCCATCATCTCTAAGCAACAACTGTATGGATTTAAAACTCCAAACCTTAGTTGAGCAATACATCATCTGCCCTTGAATTCTAATAGTTTCTTTGGAAATAAAAAGTTGGATTAGTGTTATTTATCTGGTTCCATATGCCACACATTATCATCACTTTCTTCTGAAATGTTTGAATGTCTCCAGTCTTGAGATAAACTAGTTAACGTGACAAATATTGGAAATGCAATATGTGATAAATTGGGTGAGATATTAAAGGCATTTCTGAATCAAGTTTAAAGTTTGATTTCAAAAGTTAAAATGTATCTAAGAAAACAAAATACAAAGAAATTTCTTCACTGAATTAAAGTAAGTTCCAATGTGAAATGAAACCAGTCTTGAGTAGCCACTGATCACAGAACCATGGAAAGGTTTGGGTTGGAAGGGACCTTAAAGCTCATCCAGTTCCAACCCCTGCCACAGGCAGGGACCCCTTCCACTGGAGCAGCTTGCTCCAAGCCCCTGTGTCCAACATGGCCTTGAACACTGCCAGGGATGGGGCAGCCACAGCTTCTCTGGGCACCCTGTGCCAGCACCTCAACACCCTCACAGGGAAGAGCTTCTGCCTAAGAGCTCAGCTCAGTCTCCCCTCGGGCAGGTTCAAGCCATTCCCCTTGGCCTGTCCCTACATGCTCCTGTAAAAAAAACCCTCTATACATGCACAATCTCAATACAAAACTGTTCCCTTTAAAAAAGAACCAAAAGATGATCTATATTCCACGGTTGGAAATGATATATTATTCTGTGGACATACGGTGTTAGTTGATATAACCGCTCCCTGTTTTGGACTTTGACTCCAAAGACAAACTGAGCCACGTGAACAATTTCTGCCAGTTTACCTTACTTGTGTTTTGATTGCTTTTTTAAAGTACAGGAGACTTCTGAGTTAGCTGGATCAATACTGTTACTGAATTTTATCCCAGTGTTGCTGCCAGCTGCTCTGCCCTTCTGATGCAGCTCAAGTAGCGACACGAAATCAACCAAAATGGGAAGATACTTTGGCAGCAGACTGATGTTACATTGCCCACAGATCCCTCTTCCCCAGAAGCAGTCTCTGTGCCTGTCCCATCTTTGGGGACAGGTTCCCACATCCCCCTTATGCTGTGCTGGTCCACACATGTGCAGCCCTGCAGCCGATTGGGCAAGCAACTGGTGGGGATGAAAAGTAACCAGAGGGGAAGAGCCTGAGCTTTCAGCAAGATCCCTCCTTAGATTTTCCCCATCTTTGTCAGTGCTCAAGGCCAGGTTGGACACAGGGGCTTGGAGCAAGCTGCTCTAGTGGAAGGTGTCCCTGCCCGTGGCAGGGGTTGGAGCTGGATGAGCTTTGAGGTCCCTTCCAACACAAACCACTCTGGGATTCAGTGATCTGCTTTGCTGCCTTGATGGCATCTTTGCTTTTACCAGGATTGCCAGCAGTCGAAATAAGCAGCTGAGGGAATGGGGACAACTTGTATTTTATTTTTTAACATTAGCACTGGCTTAAATGCATGTTAAAACCTCTGACTTAAACTGTAGTCAATACAGGCAAATTTAATCCCGTGAAAGCCTCTGCTTTCCCAATTAATAACCCTTTGAGACCTCAGGTGGGAATTGTGCCGAGTATCAGCCCTGAGTTGGATTTTTGCAAAGGCATAAATTTCACCTCAGGTGCCTGGAGAATGATGAAAAGGCTCAGTTGACCCTGGAGGGCAAATGGGACTTTAGAATCAAGCTCCAGTTTTAAATCATGCCTACTGAAAGCGAAGGGAAGTTCTGCCCTGAGATGCTTTCCTGCATTTCCTGCAGACTTCAATGCGTGGCTGTCTCATGGTGAATTAACTTGGCAGCAGTAAGTCACCCACAATACTTCTCATCTACAAATACTTGAAGAATTCAGATGACAAAAATCAGCATCAGGAGATGCTGTTACAGACACTCAGAGCAAACCAAGCCAACCCTCAAGTGTGCCACTGGTCCCCCTGCACTTTGTACAGCGAGGATTACTCGGAGGAGATTCAGAGTATTATGATGGAGGGAAATAAACTCACCTTCCCAAGGAAACATTCCCAGGTTTATAAATTGTTGTCATGTTTGAAAGCATTCGGTGGCTGTGATTTTTCATTTCCTTGGTAGAACTGGCAGCTTTTCTTCCTCCGATTCTGCTCGGGAGGATGCTATGACTTCTATGGGCAAACTAACAGCACTTACTAGATCACAAACTGGTGGTAACTCTCCAGGTGCCTCCTTTTTTCCATTTCCTAAATGTTCTTTTGTGCTCAGAGAGGAAAAACAAACTAAAAATAAACTCTCAATATTTGATTTGATGTCTCCATCTTCTCTCCCGTCCTAATGGGCACCATTTAACTTACAGCTTATGCAACAGTGCAGCACAACAGTTGCACTACACAAGCTGAGGCTGTCTGCATTATGTGCAAGTAGTAAAGCTACAGACTATTTACTCTGCTCTTTCCAGACCAGCCTGAACAAAATCCATCAGCCACAGCACATAAATGATAATCACTGTCTGTGCCCCACATATTTAAGCTACATAAAAGCTTTGGTAATGATATGGAGATGAAAGCTCTGAATATTTTGTGGCTAACAGTTTGATACCGAGTCCCATTGGAAAAATCAAATCCAGCTAGCACTATGTTTGGGGGTCTCTAAAATGTATTTTGCTATTTTTCCATATGTGCTGATTTTGTGCTAGTAAAATCTTAGACTCTAATGCTTCCACTGAGGAGCATAATGTGAATGCTATGGGGATAACTTCACCGTTTCCAACTCTACCTAAATGGACAAAGGATTCTAGTATAGAGTAGATACTCCAGAATTTCTAGAGCTCAGAGGAGGAAATTTCACATCAGTGAGGAAAACAACCTCAGCTTTTTCTGCTGTGAATGAAATAGTAACACTCAAATTTCCTCAAAAATTTGAATATGAAAGCTGAGCAATGAGCATAATACAAATGGTATTGCAAATGCGTGAAGATTTCAGTAGTAAACTGCATATTACTCCTATGTTCTGTACGTCAAAGTGGTTTTCTGCATAAAGTTGTTCATATATCAATTGTAAATGTTAATGAACAGCCCTCAAAGATCAGGCCCTGAAACATTTCTTCTTAAATCTTCCCTTAGAATCAATTAAAGAAAGAATAATCCATGTTTTCATAGGCCCACCTTCATTAAAAAAGGAAAGAAACCCCAAAGTACGACAAAGTTTCATGAGGCTCCCAACACATACTCTCCTTTTACACAACCCTCTTGTTAAAGGTGCAAAGTGAAGGATGCAACATTCATTTCAGGGTGGGGACTTCTCTTTGCTTACCAGCACGTTGACAGTACAGCTCATGCGGTTCTCCTTGTTCTCGTCATGCATTATGGTCCTGTAGTCCAACAACCTCTCCATTAAGCGGACCACAAGTTTCACAAAGGTTTCTCCACTCTTAGCAAGGTATTTGTGCTTCCTGCAGTGCTCCAAGAGGCTGAAAAACCAATTCCATTCGCCTTGTTAACCACATGTCCAAGAAACCCCTTCGACTCAGCTGCAAACTTAAACACTGTGCATCATTAACAGGTTTTAATTCTTTCTGACCTACGAAGTTCATTGTGGTCTAACTGCTCTCATGCTCCTGCCCTTACCGTGACATCAATCTCGCCGCTCCTCAACACTTACATTTTGTCAAATAACACTTTGTACTGCTCATCTCCTCGGCCTCCTTCCACTTCATGATCCAGTTTCGTGATGATCTCATTTTCAAACTATAATTAAACAAAGCAAGCGTAAATAATCAGATGGCAAATCTTTCACTTCATTACTGTAAGCTCGATGGTTCACAGACTGGTTGGGTATCGCGGTGAGATGTTTAGACACTATTTTAAAGCCTGATTGACTTTAGGAGTTTGCAGTCGCTGATATTAGAGCATCCATGATGATGTCCTGCCCTACAAGGACGTTTTTTGTTGAAGAAATCATTGGTCATGTTGTTAAATGATGTGTAAATATTTGCATTATGAAAAACTAAGTAAGGAGGTTAATGACAAGAGTGAGGGCAGGGAAAAGGAAGACACAAAGCCAGGCACAGAACGTCCCCTGCAATAATGGCAACAGCAACAAAAGTTAAATACAGAAATGTTGAAAGCTCTGTGAGAGAGAACATGTAACACCTAAGGCTGGGTAGCTCAGCCACATGCACACCCCAGCATAGAATCACACCATGCTGGAATAGTTTCTGTTGAAAGGGACCTTAAATCTCATCCAGTTCCAACCCCTGCCACGGGCAGGGACCCCTTCCACTGCAGCAGCTTGCTCCAAGCCCCTGTGTCCAACCTGGCCTTGAACACTGCCAGGGATGGGGCAGCCACAGCTTCTCTGGGCACCCTGTGCCAGCGCCTCAGCACCCTCAACCCTCACCTTAACATCCCTTTTAGCATACAGATACTGACTCACAGTGGACACAACTTGATAAACCTGTTAATGAGTCACAGCAGAGGAGAAGGAAGCTGTTTCAAACAACTTAACAGTAATACGTTTATCTGGGCAATACTAGAGTCATAGAATCCCAGGTTGGAAGGGACCTCAAGGATGGTCTGGTCCAATATCTCTTGGCAAAAGCATGTCCTAGAGTAGATGGCCCAACACTAAGCTTCCTGCTGAATCTTGACAGTGTCCAACACTGGGAAATCCACCACTTCCCTGGGGAATGCAAACTGAAGTGGGCATTAGAATGCATCTTAAATGCAAATTGGATAACTCAGTGGATTTTTAATGATTACAGAGGCTTTTACCTGCTGCTCCACTCCCTAGGGTCCAGGGTAGGGATGAATGCAAACTGCTCCCTCTAGGTCTGCTGCTATGGAATGAATCTGTCCAGTCAGCTGATTTCTAATTCTTCATTAAAAAAGCACAGACATCCCTAAGCTATTGTCAAGAGACTTGAGCAGAAGAGCCCGGGCTAGAAGGGAGCCTATGGCAGGGGAACAGGAGCCCATTAGTCAATGTGAGTTTATTGACAGAACACTTGTCTGCAAGTTCTTTCACTGTCACTTGCTTTAGCAGTCCCCAACTATTCCAAGGAGAAGGAAAGGGCCACCTGAATGAGAACAAAGAGTACTAACATTTTGTAAATGTCAAGAGATGTACTTTGCATCTGCAGTTAATATTAACAGCAGATAACGTACCAATGAAAGAAGAATGAACTGTCTGCAGCTTGACAGACTTCCAGACACAGGATGCACTTCCAGAAACACTGGGCTGCCTGCTCCTCTCTTTGAGCTATGAGCTCACCTTCCCAGCACTACACTTCAACTCCTACTGTGCACCTGTAACCTATGGAATTTCTCATTATTTCCACTGATCAAAATAACAGAATCCAGACTGGTTTGTGTTGGAAGGGACCTTAAAGCTCATCCAGCTCAAACCTCTGCCACGGGCAGGGACCCCTTCCACTGGAGCAGCTTGCTCCAAGCCCCTGTGTCCAGCCTGGCCTTGAACACTGCCAGGGATGGGGCAGCCACAGCTTCTCTGGGCACCCTGTGCCAGCGCCTCAGCACCCTCACAGGGAAGAGCTTCTGCCTAAGAGCTCAGCTCAGTCTCCCCTCGGGCAGGTTCAAGCCATTCCCCTTGGCCTGTCCCTACAGGCCCTTGTCCCAAGCCCCTCTCCGGCTTCCTTGTTGGTCCATTTAGGCACTGGAAGGCTGCTTTAGTGACAACAGTATTAGCTCCTTTGTTGCAGTCACCCAGCACTGTCCCATCAACAGAGGGGCTCTCTCTGGCTGCACAAGGCAGGTTTTTGCTGAAAGCCTGTAAGCAATACTAGACCTTTGTTTTTCCCTGGGAACACCAGCAAGGAGGCAGCAAGGACAGCCTCGAAGGGCGCTGCAGCAGAGATCAGGCACTAAAGCTGTAGATGATAACTAAGCTGAAAGGCAAAACATCAAAATCTATGCACTAAGAAGAAATAACCTTGCAGAAGACTCTGCCAGCCCATCACCCAACAGGCAATGAGAACACAGGGTGACTATCCCAGAGCACCCCGGCCACCAGTGCAGAGGGGGTGAGCTGAACCACAATCAGATGCTGTGTGTGGCCACCCCACTGGTGATGCTGCTCTGGCCATGGCATCACTGCTCAGCATATCAGCAAGAGGCAGGAGATAACAGGAGACAGGGATTTGGATGTTGGAGGGGGACTCTTCATCAAGGACTGTAGCAATAGGACGAGGGGTGATGGGTTTAAACTCAAACAGGGGAAGTACAGGTTGGATCTAAGGCAGAAGCTCTTCCCTGTGAGGGTGCTGAGGCGCTGGCACAGGGTGCCCAGAGAAGCTGTGGCTGCCCCATCCCTGGCAGTGCTCAAGGCCAGGTTGGACACAGGGGCTTGGAGCAAGCTGCTCCAGTGGAAGGGGTCCCTGCCCGTGGCAGGGGCTGGAGCTGGATGAGCTTTAAGGTCCCTTCCAACACAAACCAGGCTGGGATTCAGTGATTCTATGATTTTCTACACAGTCAGCCCCATGGGGGAGCTGAGGAAGAGAAGCAGCTGCCTGCAGCCAGCACTGCTTTAGCTAAGAAGAGAAACTGGACGGTTTTTAGCCCACACTGTGAAGTTGTGCTGACACATTTATTTCGGCAAGAAGTGTGAGATCACCCTCACCACCAGACTTATGTCATCATGAAACTCACACTAAGGGAGGGCTTCTCACCACCTTAATCTCTTTACATCACTTTGAGCAGGCACAGTAGCCATGCCCACCGCTTTCTGCCAACACACGCTGCATTTCAAGCTCTGCCTACACAATCCCACCTCAGCCAAGAGGTTATCATAAGGCCTCTACCAAAACATAGATTCCTGAAATGTGTTGTGTTGGAAGGGACCTTAAAGCTCATCCAGTTCCAACCCCCTGCCGTGGGCAGGGACACCTTCCACTAGTGCAGTATAGAAACAGACATGCCCTTAGGTCTGCCACAGCACCCTTGTCCTGCAATAACTGCTTCATGTGTGGGGTGAGGTAAACCTGGTCAGAACAAGAGAAAACCCTGCAGCAAGAAAGGGTGAGGAGAAGCATCTGGTCCATCCCCACAGCTGGAGGCACCCGCCTGATCTCCTGGCAGCTCCTTTTGTGCTGAAGCCCACAGCCAAGCTGAATCTGTGGCACTGGACTGTAGTGAAGTTCTTGCTTTCCTAGGAAAAAATCCTTTTTAGGCAGAAATTCACACTGGCAGGAGGGATTTGCTTGTGGCAATGCCAAGATCCTCCTCTTCGCTGGGACAACTCAATCTCTGAACATCTTGGGCTCAACAGCAGTAGTGTAAAAGTCCACAGTCAAACCCAAGACTGTATTTTTTCTCCCTTTCCAAGTCTCCATGTTCTTCTCAGCATTGACTGCAATAACGTTCACCTCATTCCCTACCTCCATGAGCAGCCTCAGGCCGTTTGTCCTCTGTTGGGAGATTTATTTTTGCCCAGTACCTGGCAGCCCACAGAATGGTGTTACAAAGAGAGGAACGACATCTCTGCTCTGAGCTCAGTGACTACAAGCTATCACCATGAAGAACAGCAGAAGTCCTGCTCACCTACCACTCAGAGCAAATTGAGGATGCAGACTAACAAGAACAAGTCAATAGAACTGTGAGGTGTCAGGGAACCTGAGCTACACATTGTACCAAGTGTAAAGCAATAAAATCAACTCTCAAGCAACAGATATTCCCTGTTAAAGCAATTTTTATTATTGTGCGTGACTGTTTCAAGGATAAAGCCCTAAACCTCAGGCTAAATCATTCCAGAGGTGCTCTTCTGTTCCTCAGATAATCCATGGAAACGTAGAAACACTGAGTGTAAGAGACCTCCAAGGTCATTTCATCCAACCTCCCAGGTGACGCAGGATTATCGCCAACAACAGATCAACCATGACTTGCTTAGCCAAGTCATGAACACCTCCATGGATGGATGACTACCCAGCCTCTCTGGATAACCTCTTCCACTCCCTCGCTGCTTGCCTTGCGAAGACGTGAATGAAAAGTGAAGTGGAATAAGGTTTTGAATACAGCGAATCTATTATCCCCAAATTGACAGGGAAATGAGAAAAGGAAGAATAATGCAATCCGCCTCCTCCACGAAGCAAACACAAGCTGAAGCACGTTCCTGTAGTACAAGGACGTGCCAAGTAAAACACTGAAGCAACACAATGATGAAACAGAGAAGTCACAAAATTCATGTTCTTTAATGAGACCAGAACAAAATTGACTTTCTATAGCAATGTGAAAAATGACACTCGCTGCCAGCGTGAGCCCTTTAGGTGATACATTTTCTTAGCAAGAGATTACTCAGACAAAGAAGAGCAATTACATTTGTCATAGAGGATCTTCAGCATCTTCCTGATCCCTGTTTCAATCTGATTTCTGTAAATCTAGGCTTTGATGGGCCATCTCCCTAACGGCCCTCTTGGGTCAGAGCTAGACTTGTGGAATTTCAGGGCTTTTAAGGACTATTAAGAAATCTTTGCTCTTCAATCATTCTTGATACTTCCCATGGCATCGGTGTGATGCAGATCATACAACTCAGATGACTAAACGGTATTTAACATAGTTAAAATTCCTTCTGCAGTCTTCTACAGAACGGTTCATCAACACAAGTAGAAGGTTATGGTCTACAATGGGAGCCCCGGAACTGACCAACCTTTGCCATCCAGAGCGACCTTGAATGCTTGAGAGGTGGCCAATGCCAGCCTCATGAAGTTTAACCATGCCAAGTGCAAGGTCCTACA